TATTATAGTTCGTTTCTGTGTGTGTTACATTTTAATGTTGTGTTTCTGTTGTGTCGTAGTTCTCCTCTTATATTTAATGTGTTTCCCTCAATTTTAGTTTGTTACCCGGATTTGTTTGTTTCTCAATCGATTTATGAATTTTGAACAGCGGTATACTACTGTTGCCTTTACTTTCCATATCATTTTGAGAGTCAGATTTACTGAGGGGAAAAGCACACGTTCAGTGTATACCGGTCCATTTTCATCTTTTATGAAATTATGAATTGATACATAGAAACCTACAAACGGAACACTCTCTAGTAATGAATTTCTGTTAATATTCATGGATAAACACAAGGTATCAGTATATTGCTGATGTTCAACTTAAGATCGTAAAATTCAGCATTGAAACATGCATCAACAAGAAAAGGTTAATTACAAATGGGCTTCCCTAAATGAAATGTAAAGTCCCTAATTTTTGACAAGAGAAGGGTACTTTAGTACATTCAGTACATATAGCCTTACACCTAGATCAAACAGGATATTTCTGTAACCTATTTTAATTTCCATCATGCCTTAGAATAGTACTCGTCGTCGACAAACGTTTAAGGGTTAACCTCAAATAAACATTAGAATGACAATAAAGCAACCACTACATGTTATAAATATCCATATATACAATATATATACGTGATCATCTAACTAGTATGTTCTTTGATCGGATAAATTAGGATTATTCTTTTTTACTCCAGTTATTTACAGAACTCAAGGATATAGATCATTGTATAAACCAGACAAATATAATACTTATAGATTAACGATGGTTTTCAAACGAGAGGGTGTTTCTCAGGTACAATATCATCGATGTGGCCGAGAAACATCCTCGAGTTTGAAAGACCATTGGTAATCTATTTATCGCTGTTTTGCCCATGAAGTCGTTGATGTTTACATTGACAACGTCACGTGCGCCTATAATTTTCTATCTCAAGCAAGTAGCATGATATGAAAATTTATCACAAAAAAGATCAAAGGAAAAATACACAAAATAGCGATAAAATATTATATGTCTGTATAAAAAAGACAACACAACAAGTATGGTGGTTCAGGTTAATCCAGTTTTACCGAAATGATAATCCAATCAATGAATAAACTGTATGCTATTCTAAATTCTACAGTAATAGTATCCAAAGATGTGAATGAAGGAAAGAATTCAATAACAAGAGGCTGTCAGAGTGACAGCAAACCGGATTTTTCTGCAGAACCCTGAGCAAGTATGGACACAACATTTAAGCTGAAAACAGCTCTGAATTTGGATTGTGATTGAATATTTGACACAGCATAGGTTTGTGACACAAAATGAATGTGGTAAAAGAACTGAGTACATTGTTAGAATCAGCATATCAAAGAACCCCAAGAACTCGATTTTTGATGAAATCAAACAAAAGTTTAATTTAGGACCCTTTGGACCTCAATGTGGTATTATCTAATTAATAATGCAAATAAATACAGGTTTAGATTCAGCATTTCAAAGAACCATATATCTATTCAATTTATGTTGAAATCAAACACAATTTAATTTTGGACCCCGATTTGGACCAACTTGAAAACTGGGTCCAAAATCAGAAATCTAAATATTTGTTTATTAATAGACAATGTAAGCTTAGTTTTTAAATGAGTTCGATTCATCAAATAAATATATATATATAGCATTCAGAAAATTTAAAAAGTTTACCAAAGAAAAGAAAAAAAATCCAAAATGTCATTTATCATTAATATATTAATACAATGTCTTTTAAAAATCCATAAAACTTATCTGTAATTATCTTCAAAATGTCTAATAATGAACAGTTAATTTCAAACTATATTTATACTGTCCTACAGAGCTTATCATCATCAACACTTAGCATGCTTAGGAAACAGAAAATTTTCAAATAAATCTGTCACTCCAATTACAATTGTGTGATTGATATTTACCACATGCTTTCTTATCTGATAACAGGTGAAAATTATTTAAAAACACTTAGTGTAATCAAACTTTATATATATAATTAATAGTTCCCAATATTTTTTCTTTCATTTGTCACAAACTAATATAGATCTGCAACGTATCTATCAATGTCAACAACTTCATCTACACAATGTAATGTAATGAAATTTATCCTTTAATAAAAATAGATTATTATTTAATGAAAATGATATTGCAAATATGAACCCCCAAACAGGATCAAGTAAAAATTAAACATTAACACACACAACAAAAAAATACCACATAACAACTGTGACATCTACCTTCAAAACACACATGACTTAAAAAAAAATAGTTATAAGCAATTTTTGACAGCTCCTGACTAAAATCCATTGAACAGACACAATCGTTGATAGACTATCTATACATAAACTTATAAATTACACCATTTCTGTTCAAAGGGAATTAACTCAATCATATAATAAATATCACTTTTGGCTACTGAAAGGTCTACAACTCAACGAGAAAAGCTAAAATCGTGAAAATTGAATTTGACCTTAATTTAGTCACAGGAAACAACATATCTAAATTTGAAAAAAATTCTTCAAAGCTTTTTCATGTTAACAGAGACATATATACGTGTATATATGTCTCTGATGTTAATGAACGGACACTGTTTGGCAGCCGCCCGCCCGGCCGCCGTACATCCCCAAATCAATAACCGATTTTTCCTTCGAAAATCCGGTTAAAAATCATTGAATATACTAAATAAAAAGTCATCACAACATGTACGGGTTTATCCAGTTTTACCGAAATGATAACTCAATCATTGAAGAACTATGTGCTGCTTAAAATTCTAGTGAGTTTGAATATCTCTTTGGTATCTTTCGCCTCTTTTTTCAAATTTCAATTTATATTTGAAGAAGTCTGTATCAGTCTATGTGGTCTTTTAAAAACAGACCTCTTTCGATGTGACGTTTTGAAAGAAATAATATACAGTAGCTTGGATGCTAACTTATTTGTGCGAGCATGTCTAGCTGGTTATACACATATGATTAGAAATACGTCAGTCATGGTACAATTTATTTTCTGCCATATTGCTGTTCTATTCGTTCTGCGAGTTTTCAACATCATATAGTACCAATAATATGTTGTAATCTTAACTTGAACCAAATGCAGAGGAGCACTGAAAGTGGATAAGAGTGACTTTCTTTTACCTAGAGGTAATCTCACCGAGGTGCATCTACATCGAGATTTAAACCATATTATAACTTATAAATTCTGCCCTGTGATCTGTGATGCAAATCTATTTCGATTGATAGGGATGGTGGAAACAGTCTTGGTATCCTTAGGGAAGGAAATCCTGTCGGCAGTTCTACCATTTCATGTCAGAAAACTTAATTACATGAAAGGCATCTCCAGGTCAACGCAGTCTTCGAAAATAGATTGATGTCAATCTCTTAATCATCCTGGGTCTGTTAAAATTGTCAATAAGTTTTACGTTTCTGTTAAATTCATTTAATTAAAGAACTGCCCATAAAACCAAACCCTCCGAATAACCAAAAACATTAAGATATGACACACGACAACTACTGACGATGTTCCCAACTTGAGACAAGTAAAATTTTTGAAGTATATCACATTGAATGCATTTTTCTTTGTTATTGTGGCTTTATAATGTTTCTCTCCACCTGTTATAGTTTATTTAAAATTTGGTATAATTTCTGACCTGTTGACTACAAAATGTGTACCTTTCAGCGACGCTTCAAATCCTGGCCTAGTGTAAGTCCTTCTTCATAAACACACCTAATAAAAAGGCATTTTGTTTTTCCACATCTTCCTTATCATTTGAATAAAGTGTCAACACCTGAATTCTAAAATCACAAATTTATGACTTATGTAGTGACTCTTTTAAATATTCTGATTGATGTCTGGATAATAATAAATGGCAAATGTGTTCATGCAACACAGATGATACCCCCACTTGCAAATAACGTTATAAAGGGGCATAACTTCAGAATGGTGAAAGTGATGCCATCCAAATTGGAACTTGATTTGAGTTTTGTGGTAATAAGCATTGTGTATAAGTTTCATAACATTTGGTTGAGGTAAACTAAAGTTAGAGAACGGTAACCAATTTCGGGACATACGTACGGACAGACAAGGGTAAACCTTAATGCCTCCTCCACTCTCGAGCCTCCACTACAGCGTGGGCATAAGAATACAAAAATACTACTGATCATAAAAGAGTACTATAAACACTTATTCATAATCACACTTAATGCTTTAGTTATTTTATATTCTTCCTCATCAGAAATCTTTATATATTCATCTGAAATGGGGCATTGGATGATGGAGGCAGAGGTTTGTATACTTTTCAGAATTGAGATACATGAATTGGACAAAGGAAGGTAACTCTACTTCTAAATATTACTTTAACAATGACATCATTGATATTTTAGAACAGATACTAAATTCATACGACATGTGCAATTTATGTAGTTTTCTTTACAAGTATGGTCATACACATACACATCATTTTGTGAGTTGAATATCTGAGTATATATTTCATTAATAAACTTCTTGAAATGTTTATAGATAGGATGTATATAATGCTGTGCACAAACGCACTATGTTTTGTGTATCTCAAAAGAAGCGATACAATAGAAAAACAAAGGATATAGGGTATCCATCCATGACACAAAATCAGCACATGCACAGCAAAAAAATACACAAAAAGCAAAAGAACAGCGTTTTTATTGCTGTTCTTCATCTCATAGTCACAGTGAGGCCTTCAACATGAACCAAAAAAACTCTCACTATACTGCAAGTTTAAGACGGCCCCTAGCACGGGCTTAAGGGGAATTCTTTGCAAAAATAATTTGGATTGACTTAGTAAGATGTAACACTACCAAATCGGTCAAAAAGAACATACTGGGAAGTAGTACATATTTAAAACAAAATAGTTCCTACGCATAGGTGTAAATATAAAACAATCTGGAAAATTGATGCACTTCATAATATCCCCATTCCCTCAAAAAAAAAAGACACCACGCTATTTTGGACATTTTTATTTTTTACATTATCTCCACAGTTTACAAGACATAAATATATAATATTATCACAGGGGAAATAAAACCCTTAGCAATCATACATTTAGTTGAATATTGGAGGGAAATCAAATATCCAAAAAAATGTTAACATGACAAAGATCACAAACTAATCAGTTTCAAAGTGTATCTGAAGTAATTTGGTATTTTCAATATAAACAGAAAGGGGTTAACATTAGAAAACTGTCTAAAATTAAATACAAACTGAAAATTCAGAAATAAATGGAAATTTCTTTTGAAGCAAAAAAGTGTTGCAAAATGGAAACTTGAATTTGATGCTAGTAATAACCAGCATCAAAACACACAAAAACTTTAATAAATCTAATGTTGTTGTCACCTGCGAAAATCAGCTAGCAATAATAAATTCATGCATTCAAAACTGAATTTTCAGTAGTTCTTTCTGAGATCTTTAAGAGATATTTTTTTTTATCAGAAGACAACATAAAACTTTATCTTTCAAGTTCCTTTTACTAAGATCATTGAAATAAGATGATCTCAAAATTGTAAATAAAAATAACTTAACATTTTATACAACAATAACAACAAATTCTTAACAAAAATATAATATATACAATTTCATACATATTATTTGTACATTAACAACAATCATATCGCACAGATTTATTTTAAGTACATAGTAATACTTATACTGTGTATCAATACTCTGATATCTTAATAAGCCTCACAGAATAGACCATCATAAAAAAATCATCTGGACTAGTGGTCCATGTCATTGAAGTAAGAGGGGCACACTAACTTTGGAAAGATAAAATTCTTACAATCTGTTAACAGATCAATTTTGTTCAAATAATTTTGGATTTACATCGAAGGAGATCATGTTTACTGATTGAGAATAAAAATGAATTGAAGCTAGTTCAAAAGACTGCTAATTTTGTTCATAAATTTTGTAAATATATTTTTTTTTAAATTCTTCCTGCCTATTTCATGTTAAAAATACTATATTTTCAATTATTAACATACTTCTTTTGTTCTCAGATTATTGAAGTAGTAGCAAATAGATAAAAAAAAAAATCATTTAAACAGGACTTGCTGTTCAATTATAGCCTGCAATGTGAAATAAAATTATCAATACTATGCTTTATACATAAAGTGTACAAAAAATTCCAGTGAGGTGAGCTTTTTCTCCGTGTTGAAGACCTCACTGGAACTTTGACGTGAAGAATAACAATAAAAACAGTTCCTTTTGCATTTGATTATGCCAAGAGCTTGTAGGGATTTTACCTCATGGATTAATTTACTGCATACCTTCCATTTCTTATATTCAAAAACGTTTTCTGTTCAAAATACAAATCTATTCTTTCTACATGCAGATTGCCATGTGAATTTCTTTTTCTTTCTGTCCAAATTTAAACTATCAGCTGAAATGTCCTTTCATATGTTCATGAACAAAGTAATATTTATTTTCTTTACAGGAACAAAAATAAAATATCAAAGTGATACTTGAAGTATACTTTTTAAATTAATTCATTGCTGCTTGCTAAATGTCCAGTTCATAAAACAAATATGATATTGAACAGAATAATGGACTTATTGACCCTTGACTTTGTATAATAATCAGTATTTATATTAGTATGTGGCACACCCAAATGATAGGGAAAATGTTTCAGTAATGTTTACACTAAAATTTGAAATAAAGGTTAAAGTGACCTATTTCTCTGAAAACATTCCTATCTTACGGCAGTTGATAATTACCACAAAATCATTAGTGTACATGAGATATGTCACAAAGTATTTTGGTGGAAACAGAATGAGTTCATTTGATGTATCTGCATACCAAATTAAACAACTTTAGTTCAATTCATAGTTAGACCAAAACAAATCTTGATAAACTTAACCAAATTCATTTTATTATGAACAGATAGTCAGACTTCTCTAATGATCTGAAGTACAAAGTTTTAGGTGAATCAGGGGTACAAATATAGCCCTGAATAAACTTAACCAAATTCAATTAATAATGAACAGATAGTCAGACTTCTCTAATGATCTGAAGTACAAAGTTTTAGGTGAATCAGGGGTACAAATATAGCCCTGTATAAATTTAACCAAATTCATTTTATTATGAACAGATAGTCAGACTTCTCTAATGATCTGAAGTACAAAGTTTTAGGTGAATCAGGGGTACAAATATAGCCCTGTATAAATTTAACCAAATTCATTTTATTATGAACAGATAGTCAGACTTCTCTAATGATCTGAAGTACAAAGTTTTAGCTTAATCAGGTGTATAATTGATTACAAGTGACAAAAGTTAAACATACACAAACATGTCTTCTCTATATTGTAAATGTGGACTAATGACTAGATAGCTATGTTAAAGAAAACTGCAGTTCCTGATTTAAAACTTTGTCAGCAAATTCTATTCAGATTTATTGGAATTATCACTAGCAGCAGGTATATTCACATTATTCTTATCAATTAATAATGAAAGAAAAAAAAATGAAATCTATTAAATACCTATGTTATCTTAAAACAGGAAAGGCTTATAGAATAACTAATCGAAGAATTCAAATAGAGAAAAATATTCAACGAGTGACCGAACAACACATTAATTCACGAATGCGCGTAGCGCATGAGTTAATTATCAGTGTTGTTCGGTCACGAGTTGAATATTTTTCGATATTTGAATTCTTTGATTAGTTATTCTTTTTATTACATTGGCAAATGGTCTTTTTTCTGAAATTAAACTAGAATATGTAAGGAACTATATCTTTTTCTAAGCATTCACAATTTGTTTTGATCCGACGTCATGACAACGCCTATTGTTGTATGACGTCAGAGGAGTGAAATAACCACGTTTATTTCACATGTGAAATTATCGGTTTTTATTTCACTGGGAAATCAATGTAATTCATTGCAGCCAATGTAATAATTTATTTTAATATATTTTTATCCAAAATTTTCACAAAAACTGAGATCTTATATTAAGCAGTTGAGTTTAACCTAATTTTGTTTCTCATTTTTTAAAACAACTTCTACTACTGTTCAATATATAGAGAATATTATATGTCTTTTTCTATATCACACCTGTATAAACCCTAGTAAACCAATATATTCCTATAAGTTCTGCTTAAAGAATGACATTGGCAGACGGTTGATACAGTGTGTGATATTGTAAAAGACATATGATATACACTAATATATGTTGTCTGCTCTATGGTTGGGTTGTTGTCTCTTTGACACATTCCCTATTTCCATTCTCAATTTTACTTAAAAACAATTTTTTTAGTATAGTTTATGTAAGGGTTTGATAGATCCTATGCAACCGTGACTGGTATAATCAAAGTCATTGAAGGCTGATACATGTATAAGTAAACCAAAAACATATTTCCTCTACAATTAGTCCTTTCCCATGTTATATTAATTCTACAATAATTTATCACAGTAAATGGTAGAAGTTTCTATCTACTGTAAAAGCAGAAATTTTCGTGGAGGATTTAATTTCGTTTATTTCGTGGAAAGAATATATCCACGAAATTAAAACCCCCACGAAAATTTAACCTACATATAATATCACTTCCATTTACTGGAAACCACGAAATTAAATCCCCATGAAATCTTATAAAGAGACAAAACCACGAAATTTTAACCCCACGAAAATTAATGTTTCTACAGTATTTAGGTCCAGCATTTTAACTCAGTTGTCTTTCAGAATACCATATATGACCCTGATAATGCTGAACAAAACAAAATCATGTGATATGTACATATGAATAAATTATATTGATTATGATCACGAGGAAAATCCAGACAATGTTACAACATTATATTATTGTGACAATAAATATCTACAAAATTTTTAATGCCTGTGTTTTTAGAAGAGCAATTGCATGTCTAAAATTTGGACTCTGAACAAAATAAACTGTTATCACAGAGATATGTCTCGCCCTTTTGTAATTTTGATTATGCAAATGTTGAAATTAAAACAGCAATACTTTAACATGTTTCATAAGTTATGCAAATATTCAAAGTCAATGAACCATGACTGAGGTACATGGCTAAACAATCTCCATGTAAATGAGATGTGCCAAAGCTAATACAACTGCATACCAAATATCACTGACTTATTATAAGTCGTTCCCTCTAAACAAACCTAAACACAAACATTAACTTGTAAACTATATAAAAGTTTCAAAGTCAATGAACCATGAAGAGGGGGTGGGGCTATATAATCTCCATGGAACCAATACTTGCAAATGCCAATAAATTTGTATACCAAATATCCTTGACTTAACATTTGCAGTTCATCTTAAACTGATCTAATCACAAACTAATACATGTAAACTAAGCAAAAGTTTCTAAGTCAATAGACCATGACTGAGGGGGCGGGGCCAAATATTCTCAATGGTAATGAGATGTGCTAATGCTTATACAACTGCATACCAATTAACATTTGCCTACTCTAAATGGTTCCCCTTGAACTGACCTAATCACAAACTAATACATGTAAAATAAGCAAAAGTTTCAGAGTCAATAGACCATGACTGAGGGGCAGGGCCAAATAATCTCCATGGAAATGAGATGTGCCTATGCTAATACAACTACATACCAAATATGATTGACCTACCACTTGTGGTTCACCATAAACTAGACCTAATCACAAACTAATACATTGTTGCCGCCACCGCTGGAAACAGCATACCTATGTCTCGCTTTTTGACTCCGTCAAGGCGAGACAAAAAAAGCATGTGTAATATGAACCCCATCAAAAAACAATCAATAACAAATGTCTTTTTGAATAAACAAAAGCATTATTTTTCAAAATATATATCTACTGATTATAAATATCCAAATCTGCATGTTGTCATACCATCAACTAATAGTCTTTTTATCATTTGTCTACTTTTTGATGCATGTGAGTTTAATGTACTTTTCATGCACAAGTGGATCCCCCCCTCCCCCAGAATCCTCAAAAACAGCCCTCTCAGCAATAAGTTTCTTCTATAATGATATAATAAAACTTTCATTCCGAATATTTAAGTATATACCATATCATAACAGATGTCTATTACAGGCTTCAATGGACTTCTGTATATACTTAACATAAGAAATAAAGGACCATTTGCTTAAATATCATCCATTAGACTTAGCTTTTATTCTTTTATTTATCCAAATGTATATTTAAGAAGCAAATATTCATTCTAAATTTGCACTTCATTGCACAAGTATTGAACTCATGTATATCACTAATTATTGCACACAGTCTAGAAAATTATCACCATTTGATGAAACTATCAATACAACTGTATAATTAACTCTTACATATTATAATATATACAAATAAAATTTCTATTTATTAAATAGAATCCTGAGATGAAAGCCACTGGTAAATGTTTTGGAAATTCTATAAAATTAATAATCAAAACATATTTCATTTTTCAAATATAAGACTTGCATATTTGCATCCATTTTAGTAGAAAAGATTAAAGATAGTAGCAGCTTTGACATCTTGTGTAGAGTTCGATAATAAATACATGTTTATAAAAATATTAATAATTAATGATTACAAATCCATGCAGTATAACAGCACGGACTAGCTTTTTACACAAAGCATTTCTAATTTATAGACATTGATAATAATTTTGCATTTCTGGCAATATTTCATGAAAGAACATTGTCACTATAAAACAGAACTTTAGCTATTATACTAATAATCTATACACTAGTTTTATTAGTTTTCCTTGAAAAGAATAGCAGTGCAAATAATGATTATGTGAACGTTAGCTATATACAGCTATGAATGTCATCTGGAGGTCAAGCTCCTGTAAGTTCTCATTATGTGAATGTTAGCTATATACAGCTATGAATGTCATCTGGAGGTCAAGCTCCTGTAAGTTCTCATTATGTGAATGTTAGCTATATACAGCTATGAATGTCATCTGGAGGTCAAGCTCCTGTAAGTTCTCATTATGCTTTTCTTGGGGCAGAATATTCTTCTTCCTCGGAATCGTTGAGTGGATCAAATTCTGTGTCACTTTCCTCCATACTTAGCCGATCGAATCCTTTGTGTGGACTGAGGAAGTTACCAAGGTTAAATTTTTTCCTTGATCTTGACTTATATTGTCTGCAACAATTGTATTGGCCTGAAAAAATAACAAATGCAACAATTGTATTGTCTTGAAGAATTACAAAGAACTAATATTTGAATATTTGTTTGAATTATCTAGTTTCAATTACAACTAAATACATTAATTTATGTTACGTTAATCTACTCTAAAACAAAATATGTTATTTAATAGTCTTTTCTGTTAAGGGAATCTTACTACATTTGTACCTCAATGTTTTTATTCAATTCATGAAAAATGAAAAATCTTACCATCCCTTCTTTTCTAGAACACGGGCACATAAAAAAAATTGAACAAAGAGCTCTTAAATGAAAAAAAAGAAAGAATCTGACTCTAATGTTGATAAATAAATGATAATGCATAAAATAAAATATAGTTTAAAAAATTGACCGACAAAAAATGTTAAGTTTGTTAGTATATATTTTCATGCAAGTTTGATTAGTTGTTAAGTTTAACAAATGAACACGTTTCCCTATCCAAGATAAAATAAAATTCCATGTAATCCCGGATAAAGCTACCTCTATCTGATCAGCAGGATAAATATTATGATGAGCTTTCTTTTTTCCTGTATTATTATAAATGTAAATTGAAATGAAGTGGAAAGTATACTTTTATCATATGTTTAAAAAAAATAGTCCATCAACATTTATTTGTGTTGGATGTGTTTTGTTTATTCCTTATTTCATCATCTGCACCTTTATCAATCGAAGGCATTAGGGAGCTACTATTTGATTTATATGGGGGGGGGGGGGGGCTAGGATGAAAAATTGTGTCCTGCATTTATTTTTAGTTGTAATCTCGGTCCTGCCTTTTTATTTTTCACTTTATTCAGTCCTGCCTTTTTTGTTATTAGTTTATCCTGACTTTTTTTTTTGCCAAGTTGCTCATCCTGCCTTTTTTTTTACTCAAAACTTCTGTCCTGCCTTTTTTTTCAAATTTCATCCTAGCCCCCCTATAAAAATCAAATGGTAGCTCCCTTACTATTTTATCTGTTTTGACTAAAATAATTGAGTTACCAGCTGTAATTAAATGAATTTTGATTGATTCTTTATACTTATTTCCTGTTTGCATTTTTTTTCAATATAGATATACAACTAATTTGTAATATTTTTGTATAGTCTGCAAATGATCTCTTTTTAATACAGTTATATGTTTATTCATGGTATAATCAAAGGATATGATTAAAGCTATGCAATGGCCACCAGACATTCAGAAAGAACTGGTCAAGTTGTGTAAACAATGAACTGAAACTGAACAAATCTTTCTGACAATCAAAGCAATATAATAAGAACTGTGTACCTTCATTGTAAAAATCTATTTATAAAAAGAGAATGTAACGAGAAAGTAAGAACTATAGTTACACCAAATGTCTGCAAGTCAATTCAAATTATAATTACATTCTTTTACAGAAATTTGAACTTAAGATAGTCTGATAGTATTGATTAATTGTTGGTTGTTTAATGCCCAGTGGCAAATATTTCATGCATGATCAGGACGAAGTCTGATAGTATGAGGTAAATATAAAAAATGAAGGATTTTTATTCAATTCAGTCAAAATGTAGTTTGTATCATGCTATTTTCAAAGTATGATTAAAAGTAAATGCCACAGAGATTGTTTCCGAGCTTCATGTTTTGCAAATTGACGTATTTCATAAGGAATTATATATGGGCAATACATTGCAATGTGATTAGAAAGAAAACTGAACGAAAGAAATTTGAAATAAAATATGAGATGATAGCTCTCATCAAATGATTTCAGAAAATAAAAAGAAAAAATGGGGTCACCGTCCTTGTTTTCTTGCTAAAATATATTCAGAAATTATATTAATAATCTAAGTTGTCTTCTCTTATAATGCAAAGTGATACCATTATGAAATCCATCAAACCCTTTTCTGTAATTTAAAAAAAAAAGTTGTAATTAAGTAATAAAATAGCAAAATTTTCACAAATAAATTGCCTTTCTGCCTCCAAATTTTCTTTACATTACATTAAAAAGACTGGACCCTTCATTTGCTGTCATGTGAGATGCAAGATGGCAAAAGATTCCCATGCTACCTCATTTTCTTTTGTAGTGAATTTGGTATCATTTAATATTCACTTGTCTTAATGACATACTGAACAATTTAAACATAATTCTATTCATTAAGCATTTCAATACCTATATGGATTGTTGTTAATATATGGATAATAACAAAGGTATCCACAAAAGGATTAGGTCTAGTTTAACATTAATAAAAAAAAAACAGAAAAAATTTCCAATTAATAATGGTATATGTTAGTTGTACTATATATTTCAAAGGAATGATTCAAATGCCCCTGCCTACTATTTAATTCAAAGGAACACATATCTGTAAAGTAAATAATCTACAGGTAAAAAGAAAGCCAAACTCAATCATTTATTCAAAATTATACTTTTTTATATGTCAAAAATCAGCTCACTTTCTACAGGGATAATAAAAAAAGATCTGCAAAACTGATAAATTACAGAAGGACAGACATGGGCAACACTCTATATCCAGTCACTGAGTGTCAAGGGGCATAACAATCATAAGTTTACTATTTGTTGCATCCATACAGATATTAAGTAAATGTCATTCAACTTTTAAAAGTATGGGTCACAGAGCTTTTTGGTTTATCTTCCTTAATATAACATAGTTTGAAAATTTTCATTGGATGAAAACTTTTCTATTTTTGTAAAAATAAAAAAGATGTTACCATAAGATAAATCATAATTTTGTTTTTCTTTCCTATAAAAAGTTTCATAAAAAATTCCTTTTCATCATCAAAGTTGTTAATTTTAGTAAAAATCTGGACCAATAATAGACAGCTATTTGCAATTAAAAATTAATGTAGAACCCCTATCTAACTTAATTGTGAAATAGCATCTAAACAATAAGCCCATACAGCTCTGAATACCACTGAAGACAAGTTGTTAGTAACTAAATATAACTAGCATTGCAAGTGGGTACTAATGAGGCCTATTTGTGGTAGTAACAGCACTGCACGACAAATACTAATAAGCTTATCTGTGGTAGTAATACCACTGCACACATATACTGAGGCTTATTTGTGGTATTCCTAACCTTTAGTTGTGGCTAATTCGCCTTTTAAAACAGAAAAGATGTCCTCATTTCTGCGAAACTTATCTGCTGAAATTAAATTGGACTAATTCAATTTCTGTTGGTTTATTTACAAACTTTTTAAGCTTTGCATGTTGCACAATATTATTTTCTCATATTACTCAAGGTTATACCACTAACAGTAAATGAAGAATATGATGAAACTAAAAGTAAATCAGTATGATGGTCTAGAAATGCTGACAATTTACATGTAGGAGGCCATTTAAAATTATACTAGATCTGACTTTTCATAAAATCTGTGACCTTATTTTGGACATCAAATGATGATCTATTCAAAATCAAAAACAAAAATAAAACATTTTCCATTGATACAATAGTTGCAAGTAGTTAAACAATGTTGACACCAAAGTATATCCATTAAAATTTATTTCATGTTCTATACAGTGGATTAATTTTAAGCAGTTTAAATTTCATGATTCCTATGGTGAAACCTGTTAGTGAGAATTTGTTTTCAATTTTTTCTTGTCCTCAACTCTCATACAATATCAAAATTATGAGAAGGTATTTTGTCAGGATTTCATCTAGACAAAAAAAAATGAGGGATAAAAAGTCTGTAGCAAATATTTCCCAATCTACAGTTTGTGCACTCCACATTCTTCATTACTTCATTCATTTTTCAATCATAAATCTGTCATAAGTACCTTCCATTTGTTGGTAAATAATTCAATAGTGTCAAATCCATCTAAATTATCTGCCTAAGTAAAATCCATTGAGATATGGATAATATTGAAAATGATCTTTGATGTTGACAATGAGACACCTACTGTTTAAAGATTATGATAAAAGTGATAACCATGCTTACCTTTTCTCATTCTAACAATAATGATAATGATGATTATGATGATTACAGGTATAACCAGCAGTCCACCAATGATTAATGCAGGCATCAAATCATCTTTTTTGGGTAAAACTTTTTTCTCTGGTAAGATCGGTGTTGTTGTTGTCGGTGTGGCCGTTGTTGTGGTTGTTGTTGTTGAGCTGGACGAGGAGCTTGAGGTAGTACCTAAACAAAAACAGATTCATGATTGTGCATACCTTTATTTCAAATACTGTTAATTTTGAAATTATTGCAAGTTTTTTTTTTACTGCGAATAATGCGACTGGGTGAGTATTGCAATAATAAGAACTTGCATTCTGATATCTGATATGTATATCCTTATGAAGCATTTCCTGAAATTGCAATAATTAATCATGCATTGATGTTCAGTCTACGAAAATCACAATAATAAATGCACACAATAATTTCTGAATTTACAGTAGTGATTTTCATTATATAAAATGATTTAATTTCTCATTCAGTTGACTTTTGGTTTTTGATTGCCCCCATGGTATATTCTTGCTTCATTTATTAAATACTCCTAATTTGTTTATTATAAGAAAGTATGCCTTTTAGCTACGATTGAATTAATCAGTCTAGAAACTTATTTAGCATAAATTTGAAAGAGAGTATACAATTTTTCTAACACTTTAATGCTTTCCATGAGCTCTATTTTCTAGACAGATAGTTGTGAGTAATACATACTTGAAGAAACAGATAGTTGTGAGTAATACATACTTGAAGAAACAGCTTTTGTGTACAGTGGATTCATGTCAAACTTCCATAGTTTATTTGGATTCAATTCCACAACATAAACTCTCATATTAGTAGAATCAACAGCTACATCATGTGGATTCTGTAAACCCTGAAACAAGAAATTAGTTCATTTTATTTAAATCCATTACAGTATTCTCCAACTTCGGATTAAAAAAAAGTTAAATCACAAAAATACTAAACTCCGAGGAAAATTCAAAACGGAAAGTCCCTAATCAAATGGTAAAGTCAAAAGCACAAACACATCAAACGAATTGATAACAACTGTCATATTCCTGACTTGGTACAGGCATCTTCTTATGTAGAAAATGGTGGATTAAACCTGGTTTTAAAGCACTAAACCTCTCACTTGTATGACAGTCACATCAAATTAAGTTAAGTCAAAGTTACTGAAGGTGTCATAAGTTTTTGATTGAAGGTATGCAGATAGATCTTATGGCGATACGTCTACATTCCACTCAAATTTTTGGGAACACATGCTTGTTTTAACAAGTATTTTTCAAGAAAGACTTGAAGAAATGTGGCCAATCAGTTTTATGGAAAACTGATATATTTAGTCATGTTTGAAATATAAAAGTATTTTAAGGTACACATGGTTGATATATCTCCAATCATTTCGGAATGTTACAGTGTCATTGAAAACTGAGCAAATTTTAACTTAAGTTGTATGCCATTTTATTTTTTTATTGTAACATCATAATCATTCTGACATTCTACAATGAAGTGAGAAACCAAATGATCACAGAAGGCAGTTAATTATTTTGACTGGACCTTGAAGATACATTTCTTCAAAGGAAATATGGCTTAATAGGAGTTGCCACAGGTGAGGCAGTGTATAACACAGAAATTGCTACTGAAATATAAGATGTAGCTGTTCTTATATGAGAAATGATGAATGACCAAAATTAAAAGGCCTTCAAAGAAAGCGACAACCATACATTCTAATAGCTATCTTAAAAAGTAAATATGACCTGATTTTGCATGACATCATTATTAAGTATATATTTTCTACTAAAGTATTGTTTTACATGACAAGTATCCGTTTCAAATTTTGATGTTTTGATCATAAGATAATAATCCCTTTTGTTGTTTCTTGAACACTCTTACCCATACATGAATAAGTACTACATATACCGTACCTACTCGCTTATTAGTCGGAAAATTGGGAGTAAAATTCATAATCCAGAGAGGGGGACCGACTAATAGACGAGATCTAGCGACCAGAGGAAAAATCCAAGCTTGAGAAAAGTGGTCAGGAGTGAATTTCCTGGTCAAAACTACGTTTTTGATTGCCAAACCTACATAAATCAATAAATAAAAAGTTTTTGTTGAAAATAAATGACTACAATACTGTCTTTGTGTTTTATTTGTTCTTTGGTAAACATTTTCTGCAAATTCGTGTTGAAATTCTACTGTTTCCGGTTTGTGTATTGATTTTCATGGTCACATGGTTTTCCAAAAAACCCAAAAGAAGAGCCAAGAACCAAAAATGAAAAGGAGATAACAATGTACCAAATATGTGAAAGGATGTTTTCAGCGGTGTTATTGTGTCATTATTGTGATATCATGATATCAATTCAATGCTTATAAATCATATAATAATAAAAAAATAATTTTAAGATTCATTCCCAAAATCAAAATATTATTCATTAAAGTGTCTCAGGTAAACAAAAATTACAAAATTGATTGACAAGCCAATATAATCCATTGATAACCCCAATTAAGAGACAAAGAGTTCTATTTACTAAAGGTGTGAAAACTATCAGTGATAGGTAAACAGATGACACTAATGAGTTGGAGTTAGTTATTTTAATATATTGATAAGCTTCACTTAATTTTTCTAATCCTTTAATCATCACAATATAATAAGAATTATGAAGTGTACATGCTCATTTAACACCGAGTTATGTATGCTGTGAAAAATATTTTCATCAAGTGTTGATTGACTTTAAATTTTTCAGGTTCATATTGGTTTATATTCGCTTTTCTCAAACAATAGGTTGTTAGTCATACCCTACAAAATCATTGATGCATTACGTAAACAACACATGGCTAATCTAACATTTGAACAGTGAACAAAACAAGAGAAATGAATACATCTTTATTATTAACAGCAATATAAATTATCATGATGAGCATCAACTAAATTCAAACCAAACATTAATGCAGAAATGAATATTATTCCTGGATTTGCATTGGTTCTACCGGCGTTCAGTTACTGTCAGCTGAAAAAAAATGCCCAAATTTTGTCCGACTTATACGAGGGTCAAGACTAAATCCTTAGAATTTGGAGCTGAAAAGGGCCCCCGACTTATAGTAGGATCGACTATTAGGCGAGTTTATACGGTAATTGCTCTAAGGAATATGCTAAGAGTTAATCACAAAAGTAGGTTGTTCACTACTAATGGAGGACAATGGATTTCAGAATAATAAATCTAACCTGTTGATTGTTGAATGTTTCTAGAGTATTGCCAGTTTCCATGTCAACAATAATACCCTGTACTGGTGCCCCATTTGGACCTGCAGGACCATTCACAGCAAACAACATGCCACCTACAAATTCAACAATGAAAATGTACACAGAATCAAAAAAGCAAAGAATCACAAAGGTTCTATGTACTGATAAGATAACAAGAGTAAAAAATAAAAATACAAATTTCATGCTGGAAATATAGAAAGATTTTTGCCAGTACCTGTATAAGTATTTCAGAGCTATTAAAGTACTCCACAATTTTAGTTTTATTAAAGTAAAAACCACCTTATTTATTGTACCAACACTAATAATAAACCTATTTTACACTAAACTATGTTCACTTATTTTCATGCAATATTGCTAGGTATTGAAATCATTAATGTAAAACAATATACCATAATACCACAAATAGGTACATGATTGTAATTCTGTGTGGTAAAAAGAAAAAAAGAAAACAAGAGGAACAATCAAGGAAATTTCAGAATAAACCATTAGTTACAACAGTAAGATATTATATTGCTGTCATACATATACCATGACTTTATTTTAAATTGGGAAACAAACTTTCACACTTATGATATGGAATATTATTGGCAAAAAGATGATACAAGGTACAAAAATATATAAAACTGTCCATTAGTACATGAAGATCATTGTCACAACTTAAGCAAAACAACTTGATAGTAAACCATCTGAAAACTTCTGCCATAAATGTTAAAACAGTAATTTACCATGAAGGGGACAGAACTCCACAGCAAATAACCTGGATCCAAACTCTTTAGGATGATACTGTCTCTGAAAGTTTCCATCTAAGTCAAAGCACTGAATCCTGCCATTTTCTCTATCTGCTACACATATCCATTGTTTGTCCTCTACTAAGGTCATACCATGGGGAACATTAAACTGTCCAGGAAGAGGATAACCATCTTCACCTATAAGTACATTTACAATCATATGTATTTATTCTACAAATGTTGGGTTGAATATGCCATTTAAAAGTACTATGTCCGTGTTTTATATATATGGTCTTTCAGTTTCAGAGTAGACATTTGTTTAGACAAATGACATCAGTTTGTAGATTCAGTTTTCATATAAAAATATACAAATTATTTTACTAGAAAAATAAGAACTTTTGGTATGATTGAAAATTAGACAACTTATTAATTTATATAAAAGTATGTCAAGATTTTTTTCAGGTATTCATAAATCTTAATACTTTTGTATTCTTGTTTAAATCAACATTTGAATTAAATCCACAATTTGAAAATGTGCTTGTTTTCAAGAACAAAACTTGCAACAAAATACTTCACATCAAAATATCACTTGAGTTTTAGTTGAATACATTTACTGAAATAAAATGATTTATTGCATATTTGTGTGTTAAATTTGTCCATACTTTCTTTTTTTTTAAATTTGAATCATCTCATTTCTAGAATAAATCATTATTTGTATATATGTAATGTTACTGGATAATAGTATCACATACCAAGTTGTCCCAGGTTCCTTGTACCAAACGTTTTTATTATTTTTCCATCTTTATCAAATTTAATAACTCTTGCATTGCAGTACCTATAAAATAATAAAACATTTTCTGTAATTTAGTTTTTTTAATGTCACTCACTATTAACATTTTACACAATGAACATATAAAAATAATATTTGAAATGCATGCAACACCACTTTTGAATGGACGTCTGCTATGAATTCCTTGCTTGATGAGTTATTTGTAACAATGTTGTCTAATAGCAAATGATTTTATTATTTCAAATATCTAACAAAAATATTATTATCTTATTAAGATTCAATTATTCCATTATAAAAGATGATCTTTAAAGACAGTAGTTAATAATCATTTTTATTTCTGCTAATTGAATACTTGGATAATAGAATCATGTTTTGAAATGTTCCACATTGAACTTTTCAGTAGTACTAACCCATCACTGACAAAGAAGTCTCCTGTCTTTAGCACTACAACATCAGTGGGTTTACAGAAATGTGTCATGTCTGATCCTGGTACAAATTTCTCACCCAAGACAAAATCTGGTGTGTCTTTACCAGCTGGTATCCTTAAAACCTGTCCAAAGTATAATATGTCCAATAACTCTATCAAGAAAAATGTTCAACTGCATGTTTATGAAGGATAAAAATCCTTTATTTCGCGCAAAATATTTTTTTCATTAAAAAACAATTTTAAATAAAGCAAAAACAAAACAGATACAGGGTTATACTTTTAAAACCAAGTATGGTATTTGACTTAAGAAAATTAATTAAAACATGAATCATGGGAGAAGGCCAATTTTTTTTACTATATTTCTTTCAAAGGTATGAACAAAAATGTTCTTTGTCAGCAAAATGAAGTGAATTACTTTCTTAATAAACAATTCATTTGTTGAGTGAGAGGGAATCAAAAGAACTAACAATAAATTTGGAAAGAATTATATTATCAGTTATTACCTGATGAAGTCCAACATCTGTCACCCATATGTTGTTATTATCGTCTACTTCTATCCCATGAGGCATGAAAAACCTAAATAATTATTAGAATTTAAAGTTATAATAAACATCTAGAATAGGTAAATATTTGTATTTAGATAAATACTGCCTTTCAACTAAGTGTGTAATCATTTATCTGAGAATCAAACATAGAATGATGTATATTTTGAATAAAATTGTAAAAAATTGAGATGTTGAAATGTTTTTTAATCTTCTTCTTAATATAATGCAAGTAAAAATTTATTGGACTTTTTTCAAAATACAGATTATAACTTATTCTATAAGATTTGATATCTCCTCATACATATGATTTTAATAAGTAAAAGTTAGTTTAAATACTATGCTTGATATCAATCCTGCAGAATGAAAAAATTTTTGATAAACCATTGGAGATAAAAACAAGTTTTTAAATTTCCATATATTTTGCATTTTATTCTATCAATTGCGGGACAAACTTACATGTTTTTTCCAAGCTGTCGTATGATCTGGCCATTTTTGTTATATATCACGATAGTATTAGTAGATATGGGTCTGTCTTGGTTGTTAATTGTATTGTCAAAATTAAATGCACTGAAATTAAAAACAATCATTGTTAATTTCATCAATCAAAGAATTAAAGCAAAATTATTATTGTTTTTACTAAATATCACAATTTTATAATAAACTAAACCAACTTTGTTAAATGACTGATTTGATTGCAGTTTTTAAAATGGTAATAACATTTTAAGCAAGCTTTATTTGGTTATACAAGTACTGTTGATTTGTTCATTTTTGTGGGTGCTTGGCTTTTATGTTGGCGTTTAATGCCACTTTCAGCCATCTTGGCTATATCATGGTGGCTAGATATTATTAGTGGAGGAAGCTGGAGTAACTGGAGAGAACAACAACCTTTGGAAGGAAACCGGAAGTCATAATTAATCCAGATCTGAGTTGTATACACTTCCCCATGATCCATGTTTAAACTCACAGCCTGAGAGTTGTCTGGCTATTAATCACTGAAGATGGAACAACTAAGACCACTCGTCCACCAAGGCCCAGTGGGTGCATATATCATTGGTCTCTAACAACAAGTAGTTTTACAGTAAGACAATTACTGATCCTAATTATACCAGCCCACTTCAAGCATAAACATTGTCCAGTTTATTGATGGACATTAAAGTCTTTGCTCAATGTTAACCATGATCAAATCAGCAAATTCTCAAATAACTGCTGATGATTTACTTACTTAAAATCCCAAACTCTCTCAGCCCTATGGAACACATAAACATTGCCCTGTTTATCAGTGGTTACTCCAGCTATTTGTCCCATCAGTCCAATACTGTCAAATGATACACCTTGAACTTGTGGTAATGGTATGCCAAATTCTGATGACGTGCCCAAGTAGTGGGTTCCTGTAGAATATAACAGTACAATACATTAAGGTGTGAATCAAATCTAGATATAGGTCGTGTAAAAGAGTAATGTGTGATTCAAGTGACTTTACCTTATATTTGTCTGAGTTCCTGCGGATGAATTCTGATTTCAAAACATCAAAACTAATTACAGGTAAACTTTTTATAAATAGTTCACAATAGAATAGCAGTTTTTTTAGTTATGTCTGAATACTGTAAATTCAGAAATTATTGCGATGTTTTTATTATTGCGAAAAAATGCTACAGGGTTATAATCGCAATAATTTAAACTCGCATTTTGAAATTTTTTATATGAATTAAACAGGATTTTTCTCAATATCACAAAAATTAAAATGGTATTTTAGTCTAAAATGACAAAATCGCAATAATTTCTGAATTTACAGTAGCATTGATTCAGTAACAGAACTTCTATTATTGCATGTGAATTTAACTTTTACATTTCTGCATGGTCAAAGGTAGAACAAATGGTCCAAATTTCGGTTATAAATGGACAACAAAAATAGGGTCAAATAATGCAGTCCTTGGAAAAGATCAGTAATAAAGACATATGATAAGGTCATTACTGTGTTTTTTTATTAATCATGGTACCAGTATCTTCTATGGAAGCTAGTCCTTCTTTTGCCTTCAAGGTTGCGCTTCTGTTAATATAGACAATGCAATTTCCCATAGGAACTCCATGAACAGCTAAAACTGTGCCACTTTTTTACTATGAAGTTTCGTAAAAAATTATATCCGACAATGGAAAGTTCATATGCACTACAAATTTTTTCAAAAGTCAAAACATAGGGCTGTACGGCATATTTTCAACATTTATATGCCTTAAACTTCTAAGAGTTTAAACTTATACTAAAATTCATTACTACAATCCCTTTACTTTGGGTCTTCCTCAGCATTCAATTTGGCTGCTATCCATGTGTATTTATACTGGTAAAATTTTCAAGTTGTGTCTCTATGAGATGAAACATAGAAATCGTTTCTGGGAACCAGTTGGTAACCAAAACAAAATATCTATGAATATTATATATCTCCCCAAAAGAGCCATGGTTTGTGAAACAGCTGTATTTACAAAGTGCAACCCCAAAAGACTTTATAGAGTACAAGGATACAGTTGACATACTATAAACATATAATTAAATAGCAACACAAAGATACATGCAATTGAATATTTTTTTCAGTGAGTAACAGATAGAATTTAACAGCTTTTAAGAAACTGATTCAATTGTGAATGGCTTCTTAAATTCTAAAGTACAAACAGTATAAGAATGAACACAATGGAAAATGTACTTCTATCTCAAGTAATTATTTTCATTTGTGAAAAATAATTGTTTAATAAATTTCAGAATGAGTTGTATCTAAAAGTTTTCTTTTTCTAAAATTATCTTACTCTGTCAGTGATATAAAATAATCTGTTGGTTCAAGTAGATAATTTTGCAAAATAAGAGGAAAAAAAGGTTGGAATAAAACTCCTTCATAGCACAGGGTATAAAATCATTACTCAATCAATTATTCAGCGTATGAACTTTAAAGATGAAAATAGTTATAATTCATAAATCAGGGTATTTAAAGGCAATAATTTACTAAAACAACATGAAAATAGGAATGGCTTTGGTACAAATAAAGAACACCACATTAATCTGATAATAATAAATAAGAAATTGAGTCAAAGTTATTCACATATATAAAATTAAATTTAAAAAAAAAAGATACACAAGACTACAAGACAACACTTAACATCTTTGACTTACGATGTTTTGACGATTTTATTAAATTAGGACTACTTGTTGTCTTGTAACCCATGCTATCACCAAAAGCATAATGTCGATTATGTGCCCCTTTCTTTCCACTAACTCTGTGGGCATCATTGCTAGAGTACCCAAAATCAGCAGCAGCTTCTTGAGATTTATATGGTCCTCTACGATTAGAACTTTGTACATCAAACGATTTCTGTCGGTTTCTATTCCTAGAAGACTCAAGCGGCAGATCAATATTATCACTGTTACCAAAGTAACGATATCTATCCATGTCTGAATCATTATCATCATTGTAATAATCGTATGATGGATGAGGCCGTTTACGATTTCTTAACATTTCAACATTATCATAATAGTCATTATAGTCTGGATGATACTCCCGAGGATAAACATTTTGATTGTTCCTATGGTTTTTCCGTAGATTATAACTGTCTCTATTATTTAATTGATATAATTTACCATCATTACCTTGTTTTACTGTTGGTACTGGAGTTGTGGTAGTAGTAGTAGTAGTTGTTGTTGTAGTTGTTGATGGTCCCTCGTGACCCTCAGGACTACCCATGTGACCATGGTGAGAATGGGCCACAGCTTCTAGCTTAGGATTAGGTGGCAGTTCAACATCTGAACCAGCAGGGAGGTTTTTGATTAGGTTTGGAATGTTGTTTCCTGCACATGTGCGAGATTGTAATCTAGTCCCAGCTGGTGTGTAGTACATTATGTAAAAGTTACACATTTCATCATCAGCAGTAGATCTGTAAAAATAGACCAATTGATGATTTTGCAGTTTAAAAACATCTAAACTTACCAGTTGTCATCTAAATATAAAGTGTATTGTTTTAGTCTTTTTGATTTGATTTGCCTTGATTGCAATCTAATCTAAATTGTTTAAAATAACTATGTCACTTCATTTTTTTTTAACAATATGTGATAGCAATTTCTCAAACATACTTAAAACTAAATGTACTTACCCAATATATGTATTTCTATTTCTTGACATTGAATTATAAGTACATCGTCCAACCTGAAATATATGTAAAATTCATCTATTCCATTTAACATCAATGCAGTTAAACTTCATAAAGAAATATAACCCTATTGATAGAGGATCCTCCAATACAACTAACTCAGTTTAAAAGTATCATTATTCCTAGAGGAATAAAAATATTCAGTGACAGCTATTTGAGGATTAATTATTATTTGTTGGGTACCAATTTTCGTGGAATCCATAGGGATAGACGAACCACATATTTTAATCTGTGTCAACATCCTATTGATATTACACCAAACATCACAAGTCCCAGACACCACATCGAAAATTTTTAGCATCTTACAACAGACAGCCGTACTATTCCCTACATGTGCGACAACCATACATTTCACAACATTCCCTACCCATTTGGAAGCAGTACCTCCTTCAGAGTGAAGCCATTTGAAATGGTATGGAATATCCAGTGAGGTGTTGTCTATTTTGGAAAAGATACAAACAATTTGTAAATAACTTTCACTTTCACTTTCATTTTAATGTCATCAAACCAACAATTGTGACATGACATAACCAAACACGAACTTCATTCTACTACCATGTACGGAACTCTAACAATCATAATTGGATAAACAGATCAACAAGACAATGACAATTCTATAAATAACTCATTTTATTTTTAATCTTTTATTTTTAATTTCTATTTTCAATTTCTACTTTCATTTCTATTTATATATTTGTTATCACTTCCGCTTTTATCAACTTCCAGAAGTCCACATACAATGTACTTCAGGGATCATTTTTCTTATTGTAACCATGATAGCGCTACTCATGTGGTGAAACATGTAGACATAATAAATTCTTTATTATTTCGATATAACGTGGGAAGTCTTTATTTTCTATAAATTTATGTACCTGTAGAAAGACAACTATTGAATACCACTAGGTATCTACCCTAACTTTACCACTACCACACGTAGACCACTTCAGGGGTTCACTGTACCCATCACATATTTTAATGCTTAACAAAGTACAATTTCTTTAGACTTGAAAGCAGACTCAGCTAAAACCACGAAATCAAATATCCTAGAATTTTTGTTTATCCCAAATCCACAAAAATTGGAATCCAGGAAAATTGGAATCCATGAAAATTAGAATCCATGAAAATTGGAATCCACGAAAATACATGAATACAGGGTATCAGAATATAATTCTTTCAGTAAGCCTTATTATATAGTTATCTTTCAGACCTTAAAATTTTCAAAATAAGTAGCATACATTCTTTTTAGTAAATTAACTGATAAAATGATTGTTCTGATCTCCTCCAACTTCGTAAAGAATCACACTTATAATTAAATTTAAATGTCTTGTCATTACATTTTAAGAATTTTGGACAAAATATTCTTAGCATTACTTTTTTGTCCTCAAACAGTTATATCGAAAACAAACAACCTATTCAAAAATTGAATGGAAAAAAAGAAAACATTGTTTTATACTTACCAAATAGTCACCAGGTTTTATAACCACTTTACTCTGAACTGGATAAAATGACTAAAACAGATATATATAATTATTAAAAGATCAGTTTAAACTGATAATCATATTTCTAATAGCTAAGTGGCAAGCAAATAAATGTAAACAACTTACAGGTAGCAATTAATCAAAATCAATTGGTTTTATTATTTCTCATAACTGAAAACTTGTTTAGTTGCTTGTGTATTGATTCTATAGATTTATTTCATAAGATCCAAAAAAATTACATTACATGGGCCTTGCTCTACAATAAACTGTTAACACAGAGATATGTCTCACCTATTTATTTTGATAATGCAAATGTTGAAATTAAAATAGCAATACTTTAACATGTAAGTTATGCAAATATTCAAAGTCAATGAACCATGACTGAAGGTACAGGGCTAAACAATCTCCATGGAAATGAGATATGCAATGCTAATACAACTGTAAACCAAATACCATTGACTTTTCATAAGTCGTTCCCTTTAAACAAACCTAAACACAAACATTAACTTGTAAACTATGTAAAAGTTTCAAAGTCCATGAAACATGATCAGGGGTGGGGCTATATAATCTCCATGGAAATAAAACTTGCAAATGCCAAAACATTTGCATACCGAATATCATTGACTTAACATTAGTGATTCATCTTAAACTGACCTAATCACAAACTAATACATGCAAACTAAGCAAAAGTTTCAAAGTCAATAGACCATGACTGAGGGGTAAGGACCAAATATTCTCCATGAAAATGAGATGTGCTAATGCTTATACAACTGCATACCAATTATCATTGACCTACCACTAATGGTTCCCCTTAAACTGACCTAATCACAAACTAATACATGAAACTAAGCAAAAGTTTCAAAGTCAATAGACCATGAATGAGGGGGCAGGGCAAAATAATCTCCATGGAAATGAGATATGCCAATGCTTATACAACTACATACCAAATATCATTGACCTACCACTAGTGGTTCCCCATAAACTGACCTAATCACAAACTAATACATGTAAACTAAGCAAAGTTTCAAAGTCAATAGACCTTGACTGAGGGGGCAGGGCTAAATAATCTCCATGGTAATGAGATATGCCAATGCTTATACAACTACATACCAAATATCATTGACCTACCACTAGTGGTTCACCATGAACTAGACCTAATCAGAAACTTATACATTGTTGACGCCGCCGATGCTGGAAACAGCATACCTATGTCTTGCTTTTTGACTCTGTCAAGGCGAGACAAAAACTCATTCCAATCACAGTTTTTTTTTTTATCTTTTTCTTTACTGAAAACATTTTTTTCAACTATCCAATCTTACCTCTATTGGTTTAGTGAACTATGACAATCAGAAATATTTTAAGATGATGATAATGATAATGGATTGATGTTTAACATCCAGTTACAAATATAACTTGCATATCAGGACAAGAACATGCTAATGTGATATAAAAATGGATCATACCTTATACTAGGGCCAAACTTTGAGCCAGATTTAAAAAAAAAAAGGCCAACTTACAAGGAAACAGTCCTTAGGAAGATATGTCAATTTGAAATTCAAACTTGATCTGTATTTAGTGGTAATAAGCAATATGTGTAAGTTTCAAAATATTTGGTTGAGGCAAACTAAAGTTAGAGAACGGAAACCAACTTTGGGACGTACTTACGTACAGACGGACAAGGGTAAAACTTAATGCCCCCTCCGCTACGGCGGGGGCATAATAATCTGAATTTGGTAACTCGCACTAGACAAGAAACAGAAACAGCTTCTTCATAAAATTCATATAAACCCACAACCTCCCACACATAAGAAGAACATGTAACCAAGAGATCACTAAGAAGGTTGAAATATTACAACTGTTTTATTGAAATATTTACTATCAATCAGACAGTCAATGTAAGACTTTAAACAATGAAAGAAACTTAACCCATAGTACAAACTCTAGATGGTCCCTCAAGTGAACACAGAATGACTATGTCATCAATGTTATTATTCTTTTCTACATATGTGATATTACACCAACCTGTGGCCATTGTGGATTCCCTTTACCAATCATGTTATATCCATTGGTTGTCCTGTTTACTTGGTAACCAGAGATCACTCGACCTATAAGCCAAATTAAATTAAGATTGTTTTATGTATGTTTTAAAGTTTATGTATATAAATATGTATCAATCAATATGTGACCACAATAATAAAATGAATAATTATTTCATATAACAAATACAATACATATATATTCATATTTTCAAAAATCTTATAGTTTTAACTATTGATTCTCCTTATGTCACATCTACTTGCTAACTTACCTACATTTTTCACTAGAAGATTTTAAAGTCATTTATATAGGGTATATTTGTCACATAAGAAAATAATCAAATGATATTACCCAAGAATAGGCAGAAAAGTAATATAATCTACTTTTATTATTTGTTGGCTAATTATAAAGGATAAATTCTAGTTTTAAAATGAATATCTATTCCTTTATCTAGTTTCATTATTAATGTTCAAAACATTTTTTCAAATAATATCAAGGTTCAATGGTTTAAATCACATGAAGAGTGAATCTATGCCTTGAAATATCTTCCAACATATATATGTAAACCTCAGATCTGTGTACGGCCTCAAATCTGTGTCCGTTTCTCAAATCTGTGTCCCATCGTGACGTCATTCGATAATCTATGTCCGTTAAAAAAGATATGGCCTCAAATCTGTGTCCTATTTTCAAATTTGTTTTCAATCGTGACATGATTCGCAAATCTATGTCCGTTAAAAAAGATACGGCCTCAAATCTGTGTCCTTTTCTTAAATCTTTTTCCAGTTTGTTTTGCTAATAAGTACAGACTTATAGGATTTTTGTTTTTATACAGTCATTTCCCATAATTCAGTGTTAAGTTGGGATGTGTTCTCCATGTGCATGATGTGTGTGCTTAAAAAATTTACATTCGTGTGTATTTATTGTATGATTTACATCTTATTGTAAAACTACAACATTTTCAAATTGTTTGCTTTTCTTGATCCCGTGTTTAATTGTTTCTGTAGTAAAAATCGTTACGTCACTTTACTCTTTACGTCTTGATAACAAATACGAAATATAAGTTAATAAACAAACTGAGACAAAATGACATCTGTATAACAGCAACTAAATTTACATGTACGGCCTTCAACAATGAATTAAAGCTATTCTGTATCGTAAGCTATAAACACATACCGATTTACAAACGTTTTGTTCAATGTTTCATTATACTTGATGACGTCTTGCTATGTCTTACGTCACCCCATTTCGATAAAGGACATAGATTTGAGACAAAAATGGCAATAGATTTTAGTCAATAAAGGACATAGATTTGAAACAATACAGGACATAGATTTGAGACAATAAAAGACATAGATTTGAGACAATAAAGGACATAAATTTGGAACGTCTATGACGCAAAATTTAAAAAGGACATAGATTTGCGGAAAGCACATAGATTTGAGGCTTACATATATAATAACTTACTTAAACTATGAGCATGTGTTCTGTATCCAAATGGGTAAATATTACCAGACGATTTAAATTCACAAGAAATGTCTGAATGAACTTCTGAAATATCAAAATACTTAAATTATATTTTATGAATCTGCAGTGGAAATTAATACCCCTGATGCACAAATCACTGTAAATGTGGATGTTTGTCTGATTTCAATGCCTAACATATTTGCACACAGTTAAATACCCTCTTCAAACAATAAATGTGTCCTCAATATTGTTCATTTGTACAAACAACTTCTGTGGATGGTATTTTTGTGCATCTCACCAGATCACCAAATAAGTGAAACTTTCCATGTTTACAATACTGCAATCTTCTATCATGGTTGCAACTTTGAAACACAGAATTTTTGGTTTGTATGCAAATTTTGAAATTGATATACTAAGCCTGGTTGACTTTTCAAAGTAACTTGACCATTATGCCAGTTACTTTGTCACATGACAACACCTATCAATATTCTAATGGTTTTCCCTCTATCACAGGGTAAGGTTTTTTTTTGGTTTTTGGATGACAATTGGCAAATGAAAACAATTCAAAAGGAAGAGGCATCCAAGTCCTCAACAACTTCACAACTCAATGTTCAAAATTTTCTGATGATGGTTGAACCACTGATCAAAAGTATGGTCACAAAAAAAAATTTCTACCAAATTGTTGCTTTATATCATATTTGTTTTTCGTTTCTTGTTTTGTACATAAATCAGGCTGTTGGTTTTCTTGCTTGAATTGTTTTGCATTTTGTCATGTCTGGGTTTTTTACGGGCATGGCTCATTGTTGAAGGCAATACAGTGACCTAAAATTGATAATATCAACATCATTTGGTTGTCTCATTGGCAATCATATAAATCTCTTTATTTCACAAAAAAGGACATACAACATTTCACAGTAAGTTAAAGAATAGACATCACTATAACACAGCACTACAAATCTGACATTACTAACAATTATCAACTTACTTTTCTGTTGAGGTCCTATAACTGTACTATATGAGAGCAATAAATAAATCCCTGCTTCAAAAAATTGTCTGAAACACAAGATATCAAAATCAAAATAAAGTAAACTATCTGATATACCATGTATACCAGAATATCAAAGTTTAGAGGAAAATATATGGTTTATTCTTTTACACTACATTGCAATGATTCAAATAAATTACTCAACAATGGTTGGAAAGGTTGTAATGTTTCAGTAAGTTACAGGAACAGTAAGGACATAAGTTGGAAAGTTCAGGAGATATTATTATATGGTCTTTTTAATTATCTGTTATTGCTTTGCTTATAAAATGAAGGGATAAGCAATGATTTCATACAACATATGAACAAGTTTGTCAAGCTGCACCACATTTACTTACAGAATAGCAACAAAAGAACATTCGATTCATAACTAAAATAAACTGTCATCACAAAAATATGTCTCACTTTTTTCTAATTTTGATTATGCAAATGTTGAAATTAAAATGGCAATACTTAACAAGTTAGGCTAATATTCAAAGTCAATAAACCATGACTGAGGTACATGGCTAAACCATCTCCATGTAAATGAGATGCGCCAATGCTAATACAACTGCATACCAAATATCATTGACTTATTATAAGTTGTTCCCATTAAACAAACCTAAACACAAATGCTAACTTGTAAACTATGTAAAAGTTTCAAAGTCAATGAACCATGAAGAGGGGGTGGAGCTATATATCTCCGTGGAACTATATATCTCCATGGAAACGATACTTACAAATGCCAATAAATTTGCATACCAAATATCATTGACTTAACATCAGCAGTTCATCTTAAGCTGATCTTATCACAAACTAGTACATGTAAACTAAGCAAAAGTTTCTAAGTCAATAGACCATGACTAAGGGGGCTGAGCCAAATAATCTCCATAGAAATGAGATATGCCAATGCTTATACAACTGCATACCAAATATCATTGACCTACCACTAATGGTTCCCCATAAACTGACCTAATCACAAACTTTTACATATAAAATAAGCAAAAGTTTCAGTCAATAGACTATGACTGAGGGGGCAGGACCAAATAATCTCCATGAAAATAAGATGTGCCAATGCTAATACAACTGTATACCAAATACCATTAACCTACCACTAATGGTTCCCCATAAACTGACCTAATCACAAACTGATACATGTAAAATAAGCAAAAGTTTCAAAGTCAATAGACCATGACTGAGGGGGCATGGCCAAATAATCTTCATGGAAATGAGATGTGCCAATGCTAATACAACTGTATACCAAATATGATTGACCTACAACTTGTGGTTCACCACAAACTAGACCTAATCACAAACTAATACATTGTTGACACCGCCGATGACGCCGGAAACAGCATACCTATGTCTCGCTTTTTGACTCCGTCAAGCGAGACAAAAACAGTCTAATTTTTTCTGCCAAAAAATTTACAAAATGAACTAGAATAAGGTGATCTTGTGATCACATATATCCCTGATTGCAAAAACTCTTTAAACAGTCAATGCCAAAACCCAAATTCAAATAGAATTAACCTCTATTTTATGTTTCCTTTCATTGTGGTAAAATCAAAAAAGATTTTGACAAAGAGTACTTTCAATATATATATAACCTGAGAAACTAACCTGAAATTAAAATTCAAGGTAACTAAGGGGAATAACTCTTGAATGGTAAATGTCAAAACCATAAAAATTGAAATTGACCTGTATTTTATGGTCCATGATATAGTGATTATGTTTCAAAAGTGTGAAAATGGAAGAAAAGCCAACTATTAAGGTACCAAAGGGGTACAGCTCTTGTACAGTAATGACAAAATAATCAAAATTTAAAACTTTTGACGGATGGACAGATATGTGCATCAGGATATACCCCCTCATTGAGGTGGGATATAAGAAGTTGGAGTCAGTTAGAAGGCAAACAATTCATAAATATATGTTATATACAATCATTGGTTCCTAAAATATTAAATGTTAAAGAAATAAAATAAGACAATTTTGCTGAAAAATAAACATACAATATATAAACAAATTCCAAATTGAGGTCAGTATGTAAGAATACACACTTTTTATCCAAACTTAGTGAAAATCTATATGCCACTGACGTGGCAAGCATAGAATTATCTAATAGAATACTGGACTTACTTCTGATTTGTAACATGTAATTTGATCCCTGAACGGTCTGGTTTATCACCTTCTACAAAAACACAAGTTTTTATTGCATTTATGTGTAACCTGCATTTGATTTTATACTATTCAGTCATACATAATTAGTGTGGCAAAGCAAGTGCTTGGTGATTTCTAACATCATAAAGACTCTCTGAGTAAAGACTCCAAGTTTCATTTTCTAAATCAACTTGAACAGAATAAGTCTTTAGTATTATGTTTACATAAAACATTTATTGCCAAGCCTTTATTACAATTTTATTAAAGTGCTGTCTCATTGTATGTACCCTGCATCTCATTTTATTCATCATGCAACACATTGTGAAGATAGTGTTCAAATATTTAACTGAGGGCTGTTGAATTGAAGCATATATGGAGCCCATGGAAGGCACTTTCAAAATCTTGTTATAGCCTTCATTTACATTTTCACTGTACTTGACACCCACCCATAGTTGAGATTTTAAAGGGCCTTCCTGGGGGCCAATGTATGTTTTAATGGAACAGCACGTATCTCCTAATTTTATACTGAACATGTGAAGTAATAAAAAAAATGTGTATATAGGACATTGTCAATACTTTATCAATATCAGCACTGGTATCTGTTAACATAATAAACATACCTGTATACATGTACAGTAGACAATAAAAGGTACAAAATATCTAAGTTCTCTATGGAAAACAAGATTTAAGGGTTATGATAAACAAATGATAACGATAAAGTGACTTACTTAAAAGAGGCTTAGCATAATGTATTTGTACCACTATATATCTAATATTAGAACTTCCTGAGACATGGAATCCTACATCTGAAATATTTTAAAATATGATTAATAGTAAAACATTGTCACACATCCAATCCTACAGCTAAAACAACTAGATGTGTCAGAACAAAACGAATGGCCTGCTTGCAAATTTTCAAAGTCCAAAGCCCTGAATTTCAGCAAAACTCAGTGGAGCGGAACCAAATGTACACTTGAACTGTAACTCATCATAGTAGACTCACATACTAAAAATCAGCTCAATATGTGAAGGTGTTTAGAAAAAAAAGTCTGTATAACTGTTCGTTGCGGAATGATGGAATGACAGAATGAAGGGTAAGGGTAAAACTATATGGCCCCGACCACAATAAAAATATTTTACAATACATCCAGTGTTCTCCCCAGAAGTTTTGAATATCATCACATTTGGTTTAAAAAAATACTGTATTTTTTTCAATGTCATTTGTTGTGATGCAGCGATGAATGCTCTATTTCCTTTATGATATATATGTTTATATTGTTCAATTCATACCTGAGAATACAATTAAACTATAACCATGATAACAGTTGTTTCAGTTTATGTTTTCTATATTCATTTATAGTTACAGCATTATTTTTTCCTCTAGGGCCAAATAAAAATATATGTGTGGTTCCAGTTACCCTATCTACCCAACTAAATGAATGAATGAATGGTTTATTAAAGTGCAACTTGTAAATACACAATACTAAATATCAAGTAAAAAAAAAGAACTGTTTTTTATTTAAAAAGGGAAGAGAAAGTATGACATATAGCAATAAAATTTCAATTAAAAAACTTTTTTCTTTATCATGTCTATGAAATTCATTGTTTCATGGTATTCAATGAATTAGTCCCAGTTGTTTCTTTATATCAAAATTATGTATATTTTTAACAAAGTTAAGCTACTTTAATCAGTAAATTGAAACAATGCATTTTCAAAAAGGTTACATTTAGCAAGGAGATCTAACAAATAGTCTGTTAATGCTTGTAGAATGTGTAGTTTTCTCCTTTGGGATATTTTTTTCTGTCTACTGTGCCATTTGTGCATCTGTAGTTATTATCGTAAAAATGAGGAGTTTTGTCATATCTGGTCCAGTTGCAATCCGTATTTTACATAAATATTTCAATTGCGGCCGAAGCAAAAATAATGAAAATAAACAATGTTTGACAAGAGATTGGGATTGAATATGACGCTTTTAATGCATTAAATGGATGAAACATTAACTAAAGCCAATTATGATCACTTTCTAAAGAAGTATCAAACTTATTTAGCTAAAAAAAAAAAGATTAATATATGCTCTCGATGAACAAGTAGTACCAGTAGGGAAAGAAAGTAATTTTGTTGAAAATTGTAAAAATATACGACCAAACCTCTTTTCTGAAGAGGTAAATCGTTTGTATCTATGAATTTCCATTATGCAAACGTAAATTTCAAAATTTTTTTATGATTTTATTATTACATTTTCTCCATGCAATATTTGTGATTGGACCATGTGGTATAAGTCATCTCACAAGTGGGCCCCACAACTGTCAGCTTGAGGTATTCGTATCCAAACAGTTATCACCCAAAGGGCAATTAACACCTATTTAATCACTCTAAATTGCCTCCATTGTCCGACTTGAAGGGATTACAATTAAAGGTGATATAATTTTTATGATCACAAGCGGTAATTAGATGAAAGTTCAAAATTTAGGACATTGTTTTGCGATAAAGAGACAAGTAAAATAGCATCCTCAAAATAATTATAGCGTCGCGGAAATTATTATAGCATCACGGGAAATAAATATAGTGTCTCGGTACCGCGACGCTAAAACGGTCTGGGGAAAACACTGACATCTAAAAGCAGAACTTTGTCACAAATCAAATCCTACAGCTCTAAACAAATTTTAGTAGACAAATTAATCAGAAATACTTTCGGTTTTTTTTTAAATAGTTTCGTAAATGGTGATAATGATGATTCCTTGCGAAATTCACTGTTAATTACTGATTTTATGATATAACCTTCCATACCTTGAAAATGACTTATGTTCTGGAACTTTAACAAGAACCTATAGGAATTTGCTTTCAGGTAAGAGTTTCTCATAATACTGGATATATAGTAAAGATGTATTGGAAGTTGAGGTACCTTTTTCAGCAACCTTTTTGTGCTATGCATATATTATTTCAGTTTTTACCTTGTTTGTTCAGATTTTTTATCACCCCCTATCACATCATCTTTTTTCAATGAAAGCTTAACTTTAAACCCTGACACACATGTAAATAATGTCTGCAACAGCATTAAATCTACACATAAGATCTTCATTACATATATACAAGTAACTATTCAATGCATATAAACATTTCCAAATAAAGACTAACCTTTAGGCAAAGTAAGTGGTGGGGCATTCTTTGCCCAAGCAAATAAAATTTGTTCTGTGGACTTGCAAATCTGGCCACAATGCCTGTGATATGAATGGTACAAAACATATATATTAAAACATACAGTATTTTGGAAATTATATTTTTTTTAAATACAAAAAGTGTAATAATGGTGTTTATGTTTCAGTTTCAGTTATATCAAATGAAAGCTTAAAGTTACTGTGTGAATTCTTTTATTTGTTTTGTCTTGAAATTTCCAGTGCCAATTGGGATTTGGGACGTTTATCTGATGCCTCACCTTCGGAAAGGCTTTAAATGGCTTAACAAAGAGGTCATTAATGGTAAATTGAAAGACAATATTTCTTATCCTTCCCGAAATCCCTCATTTTCCAGCAGAAGTAAAAAAAATCTGAACTATTCTTCAGGTTCACAGATTTTGAAAACCTGTTTAATTGATTTGTTGTTTAAATGGTTCTTGTCCTGTAAATTCATGAAATGTTTGCCACTGGACATATCTAAACAATGTTACAAGGATCAATCAATCAATCAACTGAAAGTTTTAACAGGATAATATTGATATCATCAGTTATAAAAATCATAAGCCTAGTAACTTCGATGAGTTTTCTGTCTGAATTTATGTACATATATAATATTCGTCCAAATTTTTTTATTTGGGTTTAAAAATACATTTGAGAATGGTAAATTGGTTAATGTTCATTCTGATTAAAAGCTTCCTATATAACTTAGTTTGAATAAATTAAAAACACACATTACCATGTAGGATCACTTTTAGCTGGTTCTGAACATCCAAATAATAAAATATGATGAGCTTGACCAATGTCTTGTATTGCTTCAAATTGGACTAAAATTAAACAAAATAAATTGTGTTTTAGAACATTATACAACTGATGATACAAGTAAACAATATTCACAACTACTTTTGTTCTTGTACTTTTCTTTGTATATGTGTACATGAGGAATATATTAAGAACGTATTTTTATTCATGGTGTATTTATTTTTCTTAGAATTCTTGTTTATCAAAATCAAAAATTTCAATATTAAAAAAATGTTTACTTGTATTATTTTCTAAGTGTATTATCTGAAATACCAAATTTAAAAACCTGTTTTCAATTGAATTCTTCAAACTAAGAAAAAATTAGCCTCCCCTTATTATCCCCCCCCCCCCCCACCCAATCTAATAATAGAAACAATTATTTTTATGCTCTGTGTTCCTTACCAGTTAAATCATCAAGAATATGATACTACTTCTGATGGGACACAGATGATGCCCCCGCTGGCATATCATATAAAGTTATAAAGGGACATAACTGAAGAACAGTAAAAGTGACGCTACCCAAATTTATATTTGATCTGAGTTTTGTGGTAATAAGTATTGTGTATAAGTTTCATAAAATTTGGTTGAGGCAAACTTTAGTTAGGGAACGGAGAAGAAAAATTCAGCAATTTTTCCATTTGTAAAGGGGCATAACTCTAGAACAGTAAAAGTGACACCACCAAAATTCAAACTTGATTTGTATTTTGTGGTAATAAGCATTGTGTATAAGTTTCATAACATTTGGTTGAGGCTAACTTAAGCTAGAAAACGGAAATGAAAAATTCAGCAATTTTTCCATTTGTAAAGGGGCATAACTCTAGAACGGTTAAAGTGACGCCACCAAAATTCAAACTTGATCTGTATTTTGTGGTAGTAAGTATTGTGTATAAGTTTCATAATATTTGCTTGAGGCTAACTGAAGTTAGAGAATGGAAACGAAAAATTCAGCAATTTTTCCATTTGTAAAGGGGCATAACTCTAGAACGGTTAAAGTGACGCCACCTAAATTCAAACTTGATCTGTATTTTGTGGTAGTAAGCACTGTGTATAAGTTTCATTACATTTGGTTGAGGCAAACTAAAGTTAAAGTATGGAAACGAAAAATTCAGCAATTTTTCCATTTGTAAAGGGGCATAAATCTAGAATGGTTAATGTGACGCCACCTAAATTCAAACTTGATCTGAGTTTCTTGGTAATAAGTATTGTGTATAAGTTTCATAACATTTGGTTGAGGCAAACTAAAGTTAGAGTTTGGAAACCAACTCTGGGACATACGTACAGACGGACAAGGGTAAAAAAATTAATGCCCCCTCTGCTACGGCGGGGGCATAAAAATAAACAAATTAGGCTCTTTTATAAAAATACACTATGACTGAATGGCAGGGTGTCCTTGTAATCTTTTTTTAATACACATTTATCTATCACAAATAGTTACATTTATATTTTCATTGTTTGTTCATCTTTCTTTTGAGCCATTGTCCCAAACAAATTGGCATTAATTATAGAAAGTGCTTCAATATAAAAGTAAAGATAAATAAATGGAGAATGTGTCCATAGGACACAGATGATGCCCCCACTTGCATATAACGTAACATTATAAAGGGGCACAACTCGAAAACAGCAAAAGTGACGCTACCCAAATTCAAACGTGATCTGTGTTTTGTGGTAATAAGCATTGTGTATAAGTTTCATTACATTTGGTTGAGGCAAACTAAAGTTAGAGAACGGAAACCAATTTGGGGACGTATATATGGACCAACAGACAAGGGTAACACTTAATGTCCCCTCCTGTGATGGCAGGTGCATAATAAAAACCTGAATAGTTTTATTTTGTTACCTAATGTGTTTACTCTATCTTTTTAAAATATGCCTTAATTATAACCTTCATTTAAACCTTATGATCAAAAAGATCATTTTATTCACAGTGGTTTGAACCACAAAATAAAAATAACAAGTATTGTTTTTTTTGTTTTTGTACTATCAGCATTCACTTTACCTATAGACGACTTTGACTTTCAAATTCATGCACTTTCCCATAAATTAACTACATGTATGTCACAATGTTGATGTTATGACATCACAGTAAGAACCAATTGTTTGATGAAGCCAACCAGTGTAACTCATTCATAACAAAACAAATCTAAAATGGTGTGTACATGTTTGTGAAGAAAACTTATTCAAGTTTACCCCCTTTAAGAAGAGCTTGAGATAATATCTTTTTAAAGATGAAAAAAGTCAAGTACAAAAATCTGCATACAAGTCAACTGTTAAAATATCAAAAGTTTGTTATACTTAAATCAGTATTCTAAGTTTATATAACATTATACAATGAATGTGATTTATGCTGTTGAATAATTAATGCTAGACATTAATCTTATCAGTTCAATTGGAAACTATGTATATATTTTTGTTTTTTTCTCTCCAATAAATATGTTTACACAAATTTGTAAACAACTCCTTAGGCACCAAGGTTTCATAACTGTGAATACCACAAAATCCTGTCAAGAATTACCATGTCTTCTGAATAAGGAAGTGAGGATATTGACAGGAATTTATTATTTTGATCTCCACAATCTATGAAATCAATTTCCTACCACCATATACATAACATTATGCATCATCAATCTTGTAGTCCATATTTTTATTATGATTATTTTCCTACACTTAATTACAATCTATATGAATCTAGCAAGTCTGTTCAGTATTGGAAACACTGGATTGTACAATTAGTTCAATAATCAGAAAAACAAACAAAACATATAAAAATAATGTTGGCTGTTTATTCAAATTGAAAAGAAAATTATGAGATACCTTACTACATGCATATGTATAACATAAAAAATAAACTGTTTAGAAATATGTCTAATAGCAGATAAGAATAATTTAAAATGAGTTTATGATATATTTTACAATGTTTGTAACCCCAAACCCTCCCTTGTAACACAAAATTCTGAAGAATATTTCTTAATTCAACTAGTTCATGGAAAGGGCATAACTTACATAAAACTCATAAAGGAAGCCAATTTTCTGCATAATATAATTGATTATCTGCCCACCATATCAATAGTAAGGATTTTACACAAGGAATCGATTATCTTAGCTGTATTTAGCAAAACCTTTCCGAATTTTGGGGCCTAGTGCTTTTCAACTCCGTACTTTATTTAGCCTTTTAACTATTTTGATTTGAGCATCACTGATAAGTCTTTTGAAGATGAAAAATGTGCCTGGCATACAAAATTTTAATCATGATATCGATGATGCTTTTATTTACAACCACTGGGTTGATGCCACTGCTGGTGGAGCTTTCCTCTCAAGGGTATCACCAGCCTAGCAGTCAGCAATTCTCTTTTGACATAAATTATCATTTATGTTGGTCATAATTATAAATTAACTGTTTACAAAACTTTGAATTTTTCAAAATACTAAGTATTTTTTACCCAAGAAATAGATAGCTGTATTTGGCACAACCTTTCAGAATTTTGGGTCCTCAATGCTTTAACTTGTTCTTTATTTGGCTTTTCAACTATTTTGATTTGAGCATCACTGATGAATCTTTTGAAGACCAATTGCACATCTAGCATACAAAATTTTAATCCTGGTTTTTACGATGAGTTTAATCATTGTACATAGAACTTAACTAAATAGGAGAGCTATTCCTATCAAAACACCCCATATGTGGTTTATAGGTGTTCAATGTATAGGTTTCAATTTTTGTAAATGTTCAAACAGTCACTATAACAGTATAGTTTCTGATCTAGTTTCCACAGAGCTCTTTAGAAGGGAAGCTATAATATGATGTATGTTCTATTTCATGGTATTGTACATGCAGACTGAGATTAATTCAGTAACAATTTTACATGATTACCATGATTACTGTATCTCCAATAAACAGAACAAACCCATCATCATAAGATGTCTCAGTTACTAGGTGCAATGACTACGAGAATTATGACAGGAAACTACTTAATAAACATGCATTCAGTAGTATTACATTTCTACTAGTGTTCCTCAAATGAAATATATTAAGTGGATGGGATAAAATCTGTAACCCATAATTAATATATGTCAAGAGTTAAATTCTTAGTAAAGTTTTTTAATCTTAAAACAGATTTTGAAAATAACTCAAGAAGCATCTTCTAAATTACTCAGATTTTGGACTGTTTTCAGTTTGGGGGCTCGTTCTTTACTTTTTGGAAACTACATCAATTGGCAAATTGAACTATTAAAAAACTAAGAAGTGTAACTGTAAGAAGAACCTGACCATTATATTGCACATTACAAACATGTTCAGCAATCTGAACCCTAAAGATTTAAGTGAAGTGAGCTACAACAGATTATTCCAGCATCTATCACCATTATTCATGCATGTCTACAGAGACAGAACTTTCCAATACTCAATCAATAAAATAGCCTGATTCGTGACAATTTTCCTCAATGGAAGGACCATCGCTCTAAAATCGTTTCCAAATGAAAACACCATTTCCTGTAGCTTGGAAATTAACACCTGACTTTTGTAGTAAAGATCAGATCCATTTTCAGCATAATGTTGACCTAAACAATGTTTCCAGGTGACTGGATCATTTTTATTATTTTCTTGACCAATCTAACAGATTTGATCAATCAGATGTAAAACAGAATGATAAAATAAATATAATTTAATTTTTTAATGCAGAGGACATTAATTTCTATTTCTGTCAACAGATATCTTGCTACCGTCAATAGCATCTGGTTAACTATTAATTCTGAAGCAAATAACTGATGAATTTAATTACCACTGTGAATTTGTCATTTGCATCACCTTCGTCAACACAGATTATTTACCACTACTCTGTAACCAATATATGATAATGAAGTATTGATTAGAGGTAGAAAACTTATTTAGATTCCAATAACAAACCCACTACAATTTCTTTAACAAAACTTATTCTAATAAAATTATTTTTAACCCTTATATGTCTTGTTTTTCATAAAACCAACAGAAGTGGAAATCTATTATAGAATACATGCAAAAAGACTATTACAGTATCTACTGGTTAGAAATCTACAGCTAGACAAGCACTGAAAAGAAATTGTATGACAACAGTTTTTTGTATTGGAAAATCATAGCAGTTCAATTTACTGTATTCATCCTAATTTAATTTAAGGGGTATACCGGTTAAACCTTCATCTTACATTGCTACTTAATAATAACATGTCAACCATCTCCCTAACCTTGGGTAGTGGTGTTATAACATTAATACGAACATTTAAGAATGAATTGTTTTGTCTCCTGTGTACTATTAAACAATCTATCAAACAGAGAATGTATTTTATTTGTAATATATTGTGTTTACTACACATTGCTACAAATCAAGTGTCAACATCTAACATATGTAATTTACATATTTGCATGTTATTTTGCATGTGTAGTTGACCAGTACCTACCTATGTATGTATCTCCTACAGGTAATCGATGTCCACTGCATAAATATTCGTCATGCTGAAATAAATAAAACATTAAAACTAAAAACATGAAAAGAAGAAAAAACCTCTAGTTGGCAAGTTCATGTACATGAACCACATCAATGTAAAGAAGCAACAAAAAATAATTAACATTCAATTCAAGTTGATCAAGTTTTGAAGCTTTGGACTTAAGTAAATGTACTTTCAAAATGTAGTATTTAGTTCAAGAATAACTGTATAATATATGTACAAGTTCCTACCTAAAACGAAGTGGTTCTCTGATCACTGTTCAGAAATTTCAAGGTTAAGAAAATTTGTAAGGGTTCCACGGAACCCAGTGTCTCGCCTACTTTTGCTGATGTCTATGTTTTCAGTGTCCAAGTTTGGTAAAAATCCAGGATGGTTTATGAATCTAATGAATGTTTTAAAAACTTTAACTGCAGACTGTGTGTAATGTTAACTGGAAGAAAAACTAAGTCCATTTATAAGTAATATACGGAAAAACAGGAAATAATTTTTTTCAATCTAGATACTAGCTCTTGATCATAAACAAGCTTCTGTCCAAGTTTGGTACAAATCCAGGATAGTTTAAGAAAGTTATTAAAATTTCAAAAACTTTAACCATAGAGAAAATATTTGTGGACGCCCCCGACGACGGAATGTAGGATCACTATGTCTCACTTTTGCGACAAAAGTCGCAGGCTCAACAAAAGTGTATAATATAAACCTTTATGCAATTTCAAAGTAGGCCAGACAAAAAATGAATGTGCTCAGAGACCACCCATTCCCATTAAAATAAAAAAGACCCACCCTGATTTTACTGATAATTTGCAATTGACATGTTAATTTTTTCAATGCATTTACTGTAATAACTCTCTATGGTTAGGCACATACAAATGTACTGTAATAACTCTCTATGGTTAGGCACATACAAATGTTCTGTAATAACTCTATGGTTAGGCACATACAAATGTTCTGTAATACAAATGTAACTCTCTATGGTTAGGCACATACAAATGTTCTGTAATAACTCTATGGTTAGGCACATACAAATGTACTGTAATAACTTTATGGTTAGACACATACAAATGTACTGTCATAACTCTATGGTTAGGCACACTGATGGACACTTAAAACAACCTATATATATGCCCCTTGGAATTTAACAGTGTGGACTGTGTGGTATATATGGTATATACATTATTAACATTGTACATGTAGCTAGAGATCATTTTTTTAAAGACAGATTTGTAAAATCAAATTACAGGAGCTTTAGATCAAGCGCAAAAAAATCAGTTAAAAAAATTACTACATGTATTATTTTTAAATTCTCATTTTCTCTTTAAAAAAACTGAAATTTTCTCGCAAAATGAGAAAAAACAGATGGACAGACTGATGGACTTCCCATCACTATACACTGCTGCTTTAAAAAACAGATAGATAGACTGATGGACTTCCCTTCACTATATACATTGTACTGCTGCTTTAAAAAAGAGGGTCATAGTAATTATTTGTTACATCTTTAAAAAAAATGTACATCTTTTGTAACCTCTTGTATCTAAATTTGAGTCAAAAAGCATCATTTCAAGTTAACTGAGGTCAAAGAATTATAATCAGCTGAAAAATAACTTTGTATTAATAACAAAATCATCATACATGTATATGAAAATTATTGAGGGAATTTATGGAATAAAACCCCTCCTACCCATGCCTTACTAAAGAATATATGATGGAATGTTTCTAATCATAAGTCAGTATTCAAATCTGACCTTTGGAACGCTGCAAAAAAAGTCTGACTTACCTTAGTGACATTTGCTCCCTTCATTGTGATATCTATTGACTGTGAAATAACTGCTTGTGTAAATCCAAAGTCAAACAAACAAATTAACGTCACAAAAACATAAATAAACATATTTAAGTCCACAGAAGCCATGATTCAGTCTTGTCTTGTATAATTCACTTGAAAATATAAGTTGCAGAATAAGCTGTTCACTTAATTCCAGATAGTATGTTCTGTTCTTTAAAGATTAACTGTATCAAAATACTTCAAGAGCCATTTCTGTAATAAAATGAGATTAAATTTCTTTAAGATAATAACATATCCTTAGATTTTGTTCAAAGTATTACAAATTAACTGTGAAGCAGACAGACAATGTAACAATTGTGCATGTTTGGTCGGGTTGTTGTCTCTTTGACATATTCCCCATTTCCATTCTCAATTTTATGTGTAGTCATGTGTTACGTAACATTATTGTTTTCTTTGGTAATTAATTGAAGCAATTAAAATTTTCATATAAGCTATGCCATCTATCAGATAAAGATACAAATGTGCAACTTCTTAACATACGATAAGAAATAATAAATGTGTTACATGTCAGTTTGATGTAAACAGAGAAACAGGATATATAACAACAAGTAGACATAGATAAATACATATTATAACCAAGCTGTACCATATAGATATGATTAATTCCTTGTATATTTAATAATTTTTTTAACCTAATCCCTACATTTTTTTTAATTACATATTTATTTGCAGGTGATATATATCATGTATATACAACAAATTTAAAAAAGTATAAAACTGAAAATGCATCTTTATATACTTCTTTCATCAGTATTGTAAAATAAAATATTTAAATTATAACAGCATTCATACATAAAATTGAGAATGGAAAAGGGGAATGTGTCAAAGAGACAACAACCCGACCAAAGAGCAGAAAACAGCCTAAGGCCACCAATGGGTCTTCAACACAGCGAGAAAATCCCGCACCCAGAGGCGGGCTTCAGCTGGCCCCTAAACAAATATTGTACTAGTTCAGCAAAAATGGACGTCACACTAAACTCCGAAACATATAAATGAACCAAAATTAAAAAAACAAACAAGACTAACAACATGAACAAAGGCCAGAGGCTCCTGACTTGGGACAGGCACAAAAATGTGGCTGGGTTCAACATGTTTTGTGAGATCTCAACCCTCCCTTAAACATGATGTATGCATTTCGTAATCCACATGTATGTAAAAATCATATTCATGTACATACAAAAATTCTTTTATTGTGAGTAAACATTAATTATATTTGTTCAATGGAGGAGACAATTCTAATTATAAGTTGTATAGCCTATATTTTTGTGTCTGATCCTTTTGACATGTATAAGTTTGACAATAAAATATGTTAAAACTAAAAAGTATTTTTTTTAAATTTTCAATTATTCATTTATAATTTCTGTAACAGGCACTAATTATTAAATTTTTTAAAGTGCTTTAAATATTGTAATGAATGACTAAATATAGAACACTAATTTATGTCATTTCCCTTTGTAACTAACCAATTCCCATCCTAATGTATGTACTCTTGTATACATATAGTTACAATGTAATTCCGTTTCAGACATGGCATAATGTCCTTTACTTTTAATTGGTCAAACTTTCTTTGTCGTTTTCATATTGTATACAGAAACAGCTAATGATAATAATCTATAAAAGGGATTTGGTAATGGATCATGCCTATAAATACATAAATAAAAATTTCAAGGGAAATCCAAATTCAATCTTATATTCATATGCTTAAATACATACAAACAAAAATGTTGAACACTTCTAAGAAACTTCTAAAAAAATGTAAATGCAACTATTTATGTACCTTGACATACATTTACATGTATGTTACATGTACCTCTGAATGGGAAATCTATAGATGCTAACTTAATGCAAAAATGCAACCATTAAGGTATCTTTATATATGTTACACCTTTACAATTTTCTCCCCAGTATATTCATATAGCATAATGGGATTAATTATAGCATCACACTCATAATACATTCTTTATAAAATTGATTCAGATAGCATCATGGTAAAAAATATAGCACCATGATACCATGGTGCTATAAGGCCCTGGGGAGAACACTGCCTTTATATGAATTCTGTAGATCACACCATATCCTTCAAACTTTGTAAGGATCACTCTGAATAATCTAACAGATGATAGAATGTACTCATGTTTTCAAAAATACACTTCCAGATGCAACCAGCTGTTGCTATACAATAGTTAGCATCATTTGAATTGAAACTGTGTATCAAAATCATAACATGCACATATAGTATAACATGCACATATAGGAATAACTCATCAACAGGCATCCTTTCTTATGAAATATTTAGGGAAAATGTGCCTGTACTTAGTTACAACCACTCACAAAAAGGGAGCATATATAATCCCCATACCATGCATATATGTACATTTACAATACAGAATTAGTCAGGTACATATATCATTGGTGTCTTCTGCAGTGAAGGCACACATTCATCCAAAATATTCAACTTCAATTACTGATATTTCTTTAACTTGTGTTTATACACAAACTATGAAATTAAAACTAAGACTGACTATTCATGATTAGACATGAGGAAAACATACGATGTATGTTGAATTATGGTTATTGGACTGTCTATTTCATTAAACTCTCAATAATTCTGCAAATTGGTTACTGTTCCATATCCTGATCACAATTTATTTTAATTTTGGATATACTGTAAAAGAGTCAAATCTATGTACAGCCTCAAACCTGTGTCTTTTTATCGAATCCATGTCCTAAATAATACCATCATATATTGCATCAAAGTCTGAAAGACTTCACAAATCTATGTCTTTTTTCTTAATGCTGTAATTTTATAACTTCTTTCAAGCTTGGTATATAGTGTGATTGCTTTTGGTGTGTAAATTAATATTACAACAAAAAATGTACAGAAAATCCTGTAAACTAGAAAAAATTTATTGTAATTGATTTGTAATTGATTGATTTCCAAATATTATGACACTTAAAATGCATCTACTATCAAGCTAAACCCTTTACATACAGTGCTGTCAAATCTCATGCATTTTTAGCTTTATTGGCAGCATTTTCCTTTGATCTATTGTTTTTTCTCTTTGATCTTTACAATTTTTTGCCAAATCTCATGCATTTGCTTCATGAAAACTTGACAGCCCTGCCTTTATGTAAGAAATATTAATATGGTAAATGATAATATTTGAATGTATGATATTTTTTAGAGTTCTTTTTTGAATAGAATATTTAACATCAATATGAAAATGGAACAATTGTTTTTTTTATTTTAAATTTCATTGAAGTAATGCTCCTTGATGTAGATCCAAACAAAGGCAGGCATCAATTAAGCCACGAATGATATAGACACAATAAGAGGTTTATGGAGGGTAGATTTATCGGCCAGGCATTCAAACAGACTTGACTGTAAAACAATACTCTTTTCATGCTTAGTTCTTATGTTCATGTAATCAAACTTTAAAAAAGAACATATTTGATGTAGGAAAGTTGGGTGAAATATTAAAGACATATTTAAAATAAATAAACTAACACTCACACATATCTAGCCATTATCTAAGGCATGTAGGTGTCTAGATGCGTAACCGTAGCTCTTATGTCCGTATGATATTTTTTTGGGACAATTTGCGGTCTATGGTCCGCATTAAGTTTGGCTAAAATGGCTGCATTTTCACCTCAAAATTTACTCTGAGTACAGACAAACCTTTGTATCTGGAAAAGTTTTAAGGCATAGCATGCCCTAGATAAATAAAATTCAAATATATCTTATGTTTTAGAAAAATAAAAACTTAACAAGATTTTGCAGTGCACTTTTTTCATTCCTCCAGAAGGTGCCTACATAAACTAAGTTGGGAAAGAGGTTTGAGAACTTCCCCACAGGTAATAATTGAAGTGAACTGTATTGATTGACATGGACAATAGATACCAGACAATAATTGATTTAAACTGTGTACCTGAGTGGACCATATCAAGTGAACCTCAACTGTTTGTTAATTTTATCATCTTCTTCAGGGACGAAAAAAAGTGCACTGCATTTAAATTTTCTAAAGCATACAATGCATTTGAATTTTATTATCTAGGGCATGCTATGCCTTAAAACTTTTCCAGATGCACAGGTTTGTCTGTACACAGTAAATTTTGAGGTGAAAACGCAGCCATTTTAGCCAAAGGGTCCACATGAACCTTAAGGACATAGGAGCTACGGTTCCGCAGCTAGTAGGTGTCAATATGAAAAATCTATCTATGATCTATTAATATATGAAAATGCATTGGAAAGAGCTAACATGCTCAGACACTTATAAAAACAATAATCTAAAAATTGAGGTTTAATAATAAGATTGACGTAAGATCAAGATCCTACAACTGTGCATGTATGCATCTGGATGATCTCCGTCACGTCACCATATGACACTTTATTTAGGGTTATACACAACGTTGTTTTATTTATTTAGAAAAGGAACATTAATTTCGTGATTAAAATGACTTACATGTGAAACATAATTAGATTAAAAGAGCTCATTCGATGTCAAACACCCTTTGTAAACATTCCTGAAATAATTCTGTTTCTGTAAACATTCTGGTCAATACTACTTCCTGTAGGGGAAGTAACTCAATGTACCTTCGCGATCAACTGACACACGAAATGCACAAAGTAATAATAGGAACTTGGAGTTTTTCATATGAAGCGGTAACTACAGCTAGGAATGCTCTTTTATTAAGTCAGTCGTCGATTCATTCAATAGAAAAGGGAGTTAACAGTGAGTTTCGTTTATATCTACTTTTTTTCTCCTTTTTAACTTACCAATAAAGGTTTTCAAAACCACTCAGTGTCTTACTTTCTCCTCATGAAATTAAGTTAACTTCTCCAAGACTTGAATATATTATGCTAACGGTAATTTTTTTATCAAATTAGCGGTAAGTGCTCGAGATTGATCAATCGATCAATTGATTGATTGGTTGATTGATTGGTTGATTGGTTGATTGGTTGATTAATTGATTGATTATGTCAAAATATTCAATTATCGTTAAAACACAATATCTATCATGACCGTGATGTATTGTATTCCCTCTGCACTTTTTTTTTTACCAAATTGATGATGTATACGTTGTCTGGTAAAATCTGGGACCAATAGAGTACGTAGCAAACTTGAACACACTAAAAAGAATTTTACATACAGCTTATCAGTGCTTTATCGATTTAGTATATGGTTATCAATACATCTGTTATTCTGAGCTTGTAAGGTTAATTTCAGTATGATGAAAACAATAGTTTTCTTTAATTTTGACTGATTGATCAGACAAGAGACGTATAATACCAAATTGGCAGTGATATTATATTTCTAGTCAGATTGATATAAATCTGAAGAAAAATTAAACAAAAGTTTATTGATCTATCTAAAACGATTGAGTTCAGTCAGGCGCGTAGCAACCCGTACGCAAAGACGCAGTTGAGTACACATCGAAAATTTGACAAAAATAAAAATATGGTAAATCTAGAAAGAATAAAACTAAATTAATAAGATAAATTAAAAAGAATTATACAAATATGTTGATAGTCACTTTGTAGCTATATTCCGTTCAGGAAACTAGTCTACTCTTTTCATTTACGGAATTAGCATCGTGATTATGTTGCTGATGCAAACAATTAAAATGACTGAGTCCTCGGGGTGTCAGAACACAATTGTTACAACTACTATACCTCCTTACCCTGACATATTTTCTTAAGATTACAAAATAACTGATGAAATAAAATATGACGTTCTAAATAGACCATGGACAACGATTCATTCTTATGATTGTGAGGTATGTATAGTCTTACATACGTCGTCATAACATATTTTTTTAAACAGTCTAGTCAAACTTAAGTTTAACGGGGTGGTAAATGTAATTTTCGTTCAACGTATTTGCCGTTTTTTTTTTATTTGACGATCAACATGTTTTTTCTTTTTTATTTCACGTTCGGCCGTGCAAGACGGGTGCTTCGTTCAACATGTTTCACCAATTTAATTAAACATGCTTTGAGATTAAAAGTGCTTATTTTCCGTGCTTCAAGATTTAAAGTGCTTGTTTTACTTGCTTGGTAAAATTAAAAGACTCGTTTTGGAAGTTAATAAAAAGAAATCAGAAATAATTTGATGCTTTTCTTTGTAGATTTTTGGACTTCAAACGTATATTACTGACCAGTTAAAGCATTAACATATATATTGATATAGATATACTGTTCCCAGGTTAAAATTTTCTGATTAGGCAACATTTAAAATATATGGTGGTGTCACTATATATTTTAATTGTACTTAATACCTAATCAAGCTCAACCCACTACACAAAAACCTAATTTCTAAGCCAACAATACTTGTTTGTTTTTCCCTAATTAATATTTTTTTCAAATTTAATTATTTTCAAAAGTTGACTTGTAACTCATGAAAATAAGATTTCTGTGTGGTAATTTTAAGTCCCAGGAAATCGCGAAAATGCAGGATAGTGCACCGTTTACCGCCAGAGCTTCTGGTGGCCTGAAGCGGACCAGACCCCCCCCCTCCTTCGTATGACTTCCTTCCCCGGCATTGTGTACACATCATACTGGCCTAGCTACGCCCCTGTCAGTAGTGTAGACTAAATGTTATTGTATTGCTACAGTTGATATACAGATAATATTTTCTTTCGGGTTCGTATTCTTGATTACAGAAAACAGTTGTAAAATAGTCTCAATCAGAGAATATTATTTATGGGTCTCCAGCAAGAATATCATATGACTGTAAAAGTAACGGGATAGACGGTGCTTTATACACGCAGTGAATTCACGTAGCAAATATAGGATACTGTGGTTTTAGTGAGGGTTAAGAATATTTTATTGTTTATTATAAGTGTTTTGTACTTACTGTGCTTATCTACACTACTGTTTCAAATTATTCCATGATTAAAATATTCACATACACTGTTACTTAATATTTTCCATAAATAAATTAAAACACGATTTAAATATTTAAAAGATGTCCAAGTGCCATCAAAGTAGCTTCCTGCTATTAGGATTAAGTGTGTGGTATAAAATGTCAAATCAAGGAAGACATTTGGGACATATAAACACCTCCGAGCTAAATGTTTGCCTGTCGAGTACCTGTTACTCTTTATGGTGTAAACTTGTAAACAACCTATTTATGTAAAAGAGGCAACGATGGACAAGTACATTTTTCACTTCAGCCTGATAATCACGGTCTTGGAGGATTTTATTTAAAAAAAAAATAAACTCAAGATTCATAAAGGACTTAATTAAACCCGAATATATACTGAAGACATCTATGTCGATCATTTGGTCTCTGATGGATATATGTCTCATTGGCAATCATAGTTTTATCACATCTTCTTAGTTTTGTATCAAATAACAGATTAAATGCTATAATCATATAATCATAATTTCTATAAACCCTAGCCATTTTTTTAAATACATGTATGTTACTCCATATATATATCGCTTTTCATTGAATATGATTTACTTATAATTAGTAATCGTTTTAATTATTGATGTTATTGTCATGTCAAATGTTTATTTCCTTTAGGGTCCTTAATTGGAAATGAAAAAAATCGTCTTTTGTATTGGCATATTTAGAACCAATTTGACAAAGACGAGTACATGTCAACTTTTTAATCGTATATGGAATATCAAGTTTTTGCTCATTTTTTTACGTTGTCAACGTGAAAAAATGGTCAACAAATTTCCTTCCATTACAATTGTATGGTATAAAATTCCAAATTTATACTACATTTGTGTAATTGGCAATATTTGTTCCTTTCTGAAAAAAAAAATGTTCCTCTCCGACAACGTAATATACTATTTTTCAAAGTCATTGTTGAAAAATAGAATCAAAGGCGTTTGGGACATGGAACCCCCGTTTTTTTTTTTTTTTTTTTTTTTTGTTTTTTCTTTTTTTTTTTCTTCAAATTTTCTTTTTATACGTGCTGCCCCCGTCTACTCTAATTTTCCAGTAGAGGAACAGCACGTAAAACTGTAGTTAATTGCAAGATTGTATGGGTATACAATGAAGCGGAACTCATAAAAATAAAGGAGACTAACTTTAAATATTAAACAGAGAAAAAAAAACGCATAAGAATTAAAGAAAAAAGGGGACTTCGAGCATCAAGCGCATGCTTATATAGAACAGGATGACCAGAACAACTATATAATTTTACCAAGCCTGTCAACAATTTGAGAAGATTGGATAAGTTTTATAGGACCTGTGTTTGAGTGCGTGTATTTCCGTTGTTAAGGTGAAAGATGCGTACACTGTAAATCAGCGATCTCTTGTATTTTCTGATATTTTTTTATACAATTAGAGCATACGGAACTACAACTGCATACAGAAAATCTTTACATTCCTATAGTAGGTTTAGGAGATTGTAATCCAACAAAAAGATTGGATACCTATAGAATCCATATATATAACGCTACTGAAAAATGCCGCGTGATTTTACTTGGACAGTAAACACATTTAGGGTGTCCCCTAATTCGATTATTTATTTTAGGAAAATTAAAATTGGGTAATTGTTTCGATGTGAAAATATGACAATAACATCAAAATAAGCGTATCGATCGTTGTGAGTGCAGACGGCATCGTGCCGTGACCACCCGGAATCCTATTTCAAATTGAAGTTTTGCGATACGATACACAATGGGATGTGTGAGTGTGTGTGTGTGTGTGTTGGAGAGGGGGGATGGGGCGGTGTAATTAGGCTTTCGTGATACATAAAACAATTTTTCTTATTTTGATAGGCATTGAAGAAAATATGAATTACGGTCCCTGTATTGTTGGCATTGGTGGACCGAGAAATTCGCATGGATTTTTGGAAATGGATGCCGCTGTAATGAATGGACGACATTTACAATTTGGAGCTGTAACTGCACTTAAAGGGTTAGTTTACTTCTTTTGATGTAATACGAACAGTAGACTCCTATATCAAATCAATATGCTACGATTTATTGCAATATCTCTCTGTGTGTCCATGGAACCAAAAACATCTACAATCCAATCTTATCTAACCATTTAGGAAAAAGACAATCAATATCTGACACGCTGTTTAATGTAATTGTGCATCCTTTTCACGTTTCCTAAGGTGAAAATAATTTAGAGTAATATATCCGTAAGAATCTCATCCTTTTGAATTATTTTCAGTTAACCTTTATTATGTTGTAGTTGTGCGGCCTATTTTGTCGTGTTTTTTTATTGCAAGGGCTTGAAATATGAGCCAATTTTGCCGGATTCACAAATACGCCGAGTGCAAATATATCTGTAATTTTTCTCTCATCCTGGGTAAAGCGAATTTTATAACATCTTGGATATGTAGTGTGGTGAAGTATCCTGTATGGGGGTTTTGTCTCGCCAGATGATGCGATATATGTATAAATCTTCATATCTTTTATGGTGGAAGAGCTTGATAACCCATATCTGCATGGGATTTAGATGCTTTTGTCTGAAATTTCCACCTGCGGGAAATGTCACAGAAAACGAGTCATAGGGATGATGATACGACCTCAACGACGTAAACTTCATTGTTTAAAGCTTTATATTTGTTGAGGTAGAAGACAATCCATATCCTTGATACAGATGACTTTGTCTGAAGTTTCCATCTGGCATATGTCCGTTGTTCTTGGCCTCATTTTCATAACTCAATGACCGCTTTATAAACTATGCGTTTTTATCATGTGATTTATCACTTAAAGGTAATAGATCAACTATAATCGGTGTATAAATTAATAGTAAGACGTACATGTCCGTCTGTCAGGGCCCACCTCACCATCACATTATTTCGTGAATCAGTGACCAATGTTAAGTTTAAGCAGCAGAGACAAAAAGTCATTTCAGCGTGTGCACTCTTAGTGTTTCCTCTTATAATCTCCTCTAAATTGGTGATTTTTTTACCATGCATTATCCAATATGGTCTCCAACTAGAAACATGGTCAAGTACTATACATAGGACACGTTGTTTTGTCGGAAAATTCTATTAAATAACACGACCACCTCATCGGAACTAGGTACCGGTATCTTAGAGACCGGTATAATACGCTGGAATATTTTATGTATTCAAAGATGAAAAAATAAGCGCACCTAAGATCATCAGAGAGAGCTCATTCGGCTGTTAATTAGCCCTGTAATCTATACAAGGCGTCTATGAGGGGGTGGACAGGGGTAAGGAACATTGGAATGAGGGGCGGGAGTCAGGGGGTGTGAAGAGCGTGAGTAAAATAGGGATATGCTGGGGGAAAAATGATTGATTTTCGTCTGGGAGTAAAGGGTAGGGGGAATGGGGGTTGTGTAATCAGGGACGCCCTCGTCTATGATATCATTTTTATTTAGATTTTCAAAACCGATCTCTGTGGCTAGGAGTGTTATGGAACATTGTACTCACAGTATGTTGACAGCAGAGGGTGCCAGAATATTTGCAGAAAAAGAAGGATTTACTTTCAAACCAGAGCTCGCCAGTGAAGCTGTAAATATATCCGAAATTTGGAGTTGTAGTTGAATGTTACACAAGAACATTTTAGTCAGGGTTCTCACTAACACAAGTCCTGTCACTTTCTGTACCGGTGAGTCCAAAGATGCATTACAGTTGCAATTATCGTCAATTAATTGCATAAGTTTAAAAGTTAATATACATTTGACTATTTATAATTTTTGTTGTAAACAGGCTTTAATGGTGAATCAAGGTATATACAGAACTTTGGACTCGCCCTGGACTGGCCTGACACAGTGAGAACCATGTCATAGTAACACATATTTTAAACATTTGCGGAATGTTCATCATACCAGAGACATATATGTACAATATGTCTCTGATCATACCAATCAGTTTGATATAAAGTTTGACTTGCAAAGATATTATATTCTTTCATGATTTATTTACCAAATAAAGTATGACCCACAAAATAGTGTTGACATGTAAATATAGTCACTGTGGTAAGCCATGTGCTGCAAAACTGTGGCACTATGAGGGACATTTAAAACAGTTGATTGCCACACTACACTGGCATCATTTTTCTAACGACTACATACTTTAAGCCGAGGAATTTAACAGTAGATATTTTTTGACTATCCCTTAAATGTTAATTATAAGTTGAAAAGAAATGAGGCGGTCATATAAAGATCATTCAGTACACAGTTTTTTTTTTACAATTTTAAATTGAAATATGTTTTTGTTTTATTCTTCATTTAATTTCTAATTTACAAACCCCGGAATATAAGAGAATCACACTTTCAGAATAATGGAGAAATGCAACACCAAAGTCATGATACGCTAGGACTGATTGTTTTGGATGGTGATGATATTTCTTGTGGTTAGTATTATGTTAATGGAAAGATTAATTATTTCATTTGTCATGAGAAAAGTATACATACAGGCATATTGATTAATTATACTTCATGTCAAAATGCCAGATTTTGATTGGTTAATACGAGGGAGACAATTTACTCTATCCCATGGCAAATACTCTATCACCCTCCACGCGGAGACGCTTGCTCAAGTGTGCGCTTTGATAAATACGGATGATTGTTATGTACAAGACGACATAGTTTATCACTTTGAATTTGAAATTGAATAGACAGTAATAACAGAACATTCAGTATAATAAATTAAATAACACATATCTGAGAGGGTGATAGAGCAGATTGTTACCCCTCGAAAAGACATTGTCAACCTTGGCTTCGCCTCAGTTGACAATGTTTTCTCGGGGTAACAATCTGCTCTATCACCGTCTGAGCTATGCGTTATTTATATATTATAACACAGAGCACTGTTAAGATTTTGGTTATATGATGTGAACTTTTTAATCAGTATTTTTTTTCAAATGGCATAAATATGATATACCATTTTGAACGTTTCAAGGATAAACTGACCTATATTTCATGATTTTGTGATCACCGATAAATAAAATTGAGAATGGAAATGGGGAATATGTCAAAGAGACAACAACCCGACCAAAGAGCAGACAACAGCCGAAGTACGCATTACTTATATATGCTGACTTCATACTGGAGCTTCTTAGGAAGAATAAAAAGAAGCTAGCATGATTATCCTTAAACTTCACGTTCCGCTATATAAACGATGTCCTCTCACTAAATAATTCAAAGTTTGGTTACGATCTAGGACTATCAAAAAGCCCCAGTTACTGTCCCATCGAACTTGAAATAATGGATACAACAGATACAATTAAGTCTGCCTGATATCTTGACTTACATCTAAAAATTGACAATGAAGGTCGGTTGAGAACAAAACTTACGACAACAGAGATGATTTCAGCTTCCTAATTGTGAACTTTCTATGTAGCAACATTCAAGCAGCACCTGTATATGAAGTTTTTATCTCCTAGTTGATACGATATTCAATTGAGCATTATTTCCTTGCTAGAGGGTGGGGCTAACTAGGAAACTACTGAACACCGAGTTCCAATTGGTGAAGTTGAAATCATCCCTTCAAAACCGTCACTATCAAGAGCGAGTTAACCGTTATGGAATATCTGTTTCGCAGATGACGACGAATATGTTCCAGTGTTATAACCACATTTCCGTCCTCTTTTCCTCAAATATGACCTACCGAAGTTGACTTGTACTTGCATGAGCAACACGACGGGTGCCACATGTGGAGCAGGATCTGCTTTCCCATCCGGAGAACCTGAGAGTAGCCCAGGTTTTTGATGGGATTCGTGTTGTTCAGTCTTTAGTTTTCTATGTTGTAATTTTGTGTACTGCTGTTTGTCTTTTCGTCGTTTTTCGTTTTTGACATTAGTTTGTTTTCGACTTATGAGTTTGAATACCCCTTTGGCATCTTTCGCCTCTCTTTTATATAGACGTTTCAGGCATCCACAGTATTGGACTTGTTTTGCACAAATGTAAGTCTTGTATCGATCATCAGCCCAGTGGCCAGTCAGCACTTTAGCTTTTACATAAAATATCATTAATAGGTCGATTTTCTGTAATTTTACTGTCTATTAAACTGAATTATTCGAAACGGGCATATTTAGCTCATAGCCGTACTTTGCACAACTGTTCGGAATTTTTGGTTTTAAATACTCTTAGACTACGTAATTGAGCCGACCTTCACTGTTCGAGCGCAACTAGTGAGTCTAATATGTAGACCCAACGTGCATCTGGTGTACAAAATTAAAAGTCTGGTATCTTTGATGTATCTTTTATGAATGCAAGCTAGGACTCCTGAAAATGGAAGTATCAGTAAAATGGTTCAAAGCATAACCTTCCTGGTATAAAATTTGGCTGCAATTATCTGCTTCGCACAATAAAGCTGCGAACGAAGTCTGAGGATCTGGGACTACTCTCGACATCGTACATCAGTCTCCGGAAATAACATATTCCCTTTTATTAGATTAATCTTCGGCTTATGTTCAAAAACGTCTTTTTAGTTATTAGATGTTGTTATTTCCAGTTTGGACCAAAGGATAACTGTATTAAACTCAAGTATTTCTTAATTTAGCCAGTTTTGATATGGTTGTGCAGGATGTTAGTGTACAGTTTGACTTTTAACCTATAACACAATTATACGAGATAATACCACCAAAGTTCCTATAACAATAAATACATTATGAAGTTTACACTGTAGTACAGAAACGTCAATACCAGATTTACAGCATTGAATTACCTTTTCATTGCTAGCCATTTTATAAAGGTCTGTAGACTATACTTTTCATTTTTATTTGTTTAGGTGTATCGACTAGTGGTATGCCAAATAAACATCCTGGTAGAGTAGGAGATAGTGCACTTCCTGGCAATGGTTTGTATGCAGGTAAGTCTCGACAACATAACTTATAAAGGAGATAGTGCACTTCCTGGCAATGGTTTATATGCAGGTAAGTCTCGACAACATAACTTATAAAGGAGATAAGGATGTATTATATCTGACATGCAATGATACTCTCTTGACATTACTCAAAATTCATGATAGGTATTCATCTGCAAAATCAGATTTCAAGATTTTTTGTGTTCTATTTAAACAGCCTGTTATTGGGTTTTTTTTTGTCTGGTTTTAGATGTTACTGGCGGTGCAGCATGCTGTAGTGGCGATGGAGATTTCATTCTAAAGTTCTGTCCAGCATTCCATGTGGTTCAATTACTGAAACAGGTAGGTGGTGCAGCATGTTGTAGTGGCGACGGAGATTTCATTCTAAAGTTCTGTCCAGCATTCCATGTGGTTCAGTTACTGAAACGGGTAGGTGGTGCAGCATGTTGTAGTGGCGACGGAGATTTCATTCTAAAGTTCTGTCCAGCATTCCATGTGGTTCAGTTACTGAAACGGGTAGGTGGTGCAGCATGTTGTAGTGGCGACGGAGATTTCATTCTAAAGTTCTGTCCAGCATTCCATGTGGTTCAGTTACTGAAACGGGTAGGTGGTGCAGCATGTTGTAGTGGCGACGGAGATTTCATTCTAAAGTTCTGTCCAGCATTCCATGTGGTTCAGTTACTGAAACAGGTAGGTGGTGCAGCATGTTGTAGTGGCAGTAAAGTTTTTATTCTAAAGTTCTGACAACATTCCATGTGGTTCAGTTACGGAATTGGGTAGGTGGTGCAGCATTTTGTAGTGCTGATAAAGATTTCATTCTAAAGTTCTGTCCAGCATTCCATATGGTTCAGTTACTGAAACAGGTAGGTGGTGCAGCATGTTGTAGTGGCGATGGAGATTTTTATTCTAAAGTTCTGTCCATCATTCCATATGGTTCAGTTACTCAAACAGGAAGTCATCTAAAATGGTTATTTTATTAGTTTTAATAGAAAAATGCAAAAAGAATTAATAAGGAAACATGTAATATTTTATTTGAACAGTTAAACTGTATTGATACCTAGAAAAGTTCCATTATACATATGTTTTAGCTGTTCTGTAAATCTGTTTAAAAGATATGTGAAAGATACCAAAGGAATATTCAAATTCATAAGTTGACAACTGACAATGCCATGGCAAAAAAAGAAAAATGACAAAAGACAAACAACAGTACATGTAATTCTGTTTAAAGTTGTGAATATATTACACATGGAATTTATTGATATTCAATTACTTTTTTTGATAATTTTAGGGAAAAGAACCCAAAGAAGCATGTAAAATTGTCATCAGTGATATGAAAAATCGATCCTCTGATTATTTTGAAATTTCTATAATAGCAGTTAACATGAAGGTATTTAGTCATTTAGTCAGATCAATATATATAAAGGATGAAACAGTCTTATTCATAATTTCATCTTATAAATTTATAATGTCAGATAAATACATATGCGTCAAAATATTTTCTGTTTAACTTTAAATATTTGGAATGCTGAATGGATATTGCAGTTTGCTATATTTTTAAAAACATTTATCAGTTCAGTATATGCTACTTTCTAATGTCCATAATATCAGGCTCTCTTTTGGAGTTTTCTCCAGTATATTTCTGTTTTTAACAGGGTGAGTATGGTACAGGCACTACTGTGGAAAGCTGGAAAGATCCTCTAGAAAAAGATAAAACATATAATGGATTTCCTTATGTTGTTTGGACAAGTGGAATGGATGAACCAGTTTGCTTGTGTCAAGAAACAAGCACATAATTATGATACAATTAATTCATAACAGACAACCACACTTCAAGTTACCATTGGGTTACAGGTTTATTCATGGTGACTAGTTTTGCCACATTGGTTGTGTCTAGGACCAAGGATACAATTGTACATATTATGAAGTACTGTACTTCAACAACAGAGGGCATAAGCTGACATTCAAAGATACAAAATGTAGAATGCAGAGGAAAACTTATTCACTAATAATAAATTATTGTACAGTTGTTAAAAGACAATAAAGACATATGAAAAAGAAGTGCTGAATTGTCAGTGCCTACAGAAAACAGGTTGTGACTTTAATCCACAATCGAGTTTTCTAATAATCATGACAGAAAAATATGACTGTTATAGCAGTATTATAGTTTTATTGCAGAATTGTACATTACAATTTAGACTATGCACTTGACTTCTCCTCATCATGTCCTTTATATTAAACTACCTTTTACTTGATTCATTACCAACACATCGTCCTGAACATGCATGAAATATTTGCCAATGAAACATCAATGTCATAGTTGCCAGAAAAGTAACAGCTATGTCTTACTCCAGTCAAATTCGAAAGTCCAGTTGAATTGGATCTAAGTTGGTATTATCTAGGAGCTTGCATTTTCAGTTACTTATTAAAGGATGGCAGTTAACCTCACTCCAGTTCCCTAACAAATAAAACTGACTGCTATTAAAGTTATATATGTGTCAATGTGTAGAATGTAGTGTTGAAGTTGATGTGTTTTCATGAAAAGCTAACACTTTACAGAGTTTCAAAAGTATTTAATTTATCATTCTATTTCTTTTAACATTCTTGCATAGTGAATCTATAGAAAACATATCAGAATATCAAATACTACACCTGAGTATCACACCAAACAAATCTATGTTAAGTATAAACTAACAATCTACTTCAATATAAGTCAGTACACTGACAGAGTAAACATAAAAAGCTATTATGCAAAGCAAAACTTGAGAAACAAAAATCTAAAATGAAAGCGTTATAAATACTGTAAATCCAGAAATTTTTTGCAATGTTTTTATTATTGCAAAAATTGTGACCGAATATGTGGTGCAAAAATAAAAACTCACATTTTGAAATTAGATAGCACTATTTGTATGCAGCATTTTCTTAAATCACAATAATTAATCTCACATTTTTGTCCCTCCTTTTAAAATCGCAATAATAAATGTACACAATAATTTCTGAATTTTTTGCCTTCTTTTGCAAACCCTGAAAATTTGAGTTTCAAAAATGAAGATTTTTGGTCCCAAATCTTTTTTTGGAATCTTCATACTTTCACCTTTTCTCTTAAAACTGTTGACATGACTGTATTGGTGAGGCCTTATAATCTCCATTAAAATGAGATGTGCCAATGCTTATACAACTAAATACCAGCTATCGTTGAATTACCATTATAAACTGACATAACCATAAATTTTAACAAATTGTTAACGCTGCTGGTAATAGCACACTCAAGTCTCACCATCATGACTTTGTTGGGCCATAAAGATGGCAAAAATGCCAATGATTAGGAAATAAACACATGTAAAGTTCATGTAATAAAAAATTCAAAAACTTCATTCTAGATTACTATAAAATCATGAAAAAGAAAATAGATGTATGGTATTTAAAAAATTAATAAAAGATTAAACAAAACATATTGTGTGTAAAAAATATCATTAAAATAATTACCGGTATATGAAAGGAATATACAAAATTCCTGACATAAATGCATATGGTAATAAATTGCTTCGCCGAGCGCAGCTGGATACGACCGCAGAGGCCCAACCCTGAACCGTTGGGGCCAAAATGGACACAATATTCGCACTTGATACAGGTCTGAATTTGGATTGTAATTCAATATTTGACACTTAATAGGTTTCCGACACAGAATAACTGTAGTCAAAGAACTTAGAATTGGTTATATGATTTGAATTTATATTCAATTTTTTGCTTTTGTGAAATCCACTTTGCTGTTGCGAATTGACCTCCCCCCCCCTTTTTTTCAAAAAAAAAATATTTGAAAGATTTTCTTTTTGATTTCTGAAATCTTGAGGAGAAAAAATTGTAAGGAAACTTGTGGTATAATTTCAGAGAGATCCATACACTGTTCCACAAGTTATTGTCATGAAACTAGAAAAATGCTTATTTGGGCCCCTTTTTGGCCCCTAATTCCTAAACTGTTGGGACTATAACCCCCAAAATCAATTCCAACCTTCCTTTTGTGGTTATAAACCTTATGTTTAAATTTCATAGAGATCCATTCACTTAAACTAAAGTTATTGTGCGAAAACCAATGTGTCTTCGGACGACGACACCACCGTCATACCAATATACGACCGCAAATATTTTTGGCGGTAGTATAAAAAGGTTATGATTAAATACTTGGTGTATTTTTATGTGCACAAATGCTACATCTGATGGTATAAACAGGAATTAAACATTGCACCTGATCAAGTTAGGTCATACTTAATCCTATTGATCAAAATTTTGATTGCGTCCTTTTTGAGCATTATTACAAGTTTGGTTTATGCAAATAGATTTTTAAATGCGATAGGCCTAATTTTGATGAAGTTAAACAGAAAAAGGAGAAATGAAGAAAATTCACTTTATGATTTAAGTAAACATTGCAAAAATTCTTAACAATGACAAAATCTAAGATGGGTTAGGAGATAATTAAACAATAACTTAAGACATCGGGCAAGTAATTTTAAGAAATATTAAACAATGATTTAAAATAATTTCTGGGTCACACAAACTACTTTATGATTATTGTCTGTAAAACAACCTAAAAATGGAAATTTACTGATGAATAATCATGGGTTGAAAAGAAATTAAACAAATAAAAAAATCATGGTCATTAAGCATGAAAAGTAGGTCAAGGTGATTCAAATGTTGTATTTTATAAGAGTTTAATGATTAAAAATATCAGGGATATACCATTACTGGCTTCTGAGAGTTGGACTATCAAGTAAACAAACAAAATTTAAATTTAAAACTAAATGCACCTGTCACATTCATGACACAACATTATAAAGTAGTAAAATAGTATACACATTTCTACAATTATTGATCTACAAGCACTGATTGTCTGAATTTAGAATCTTCCCAAAAACTGTCATACATCAGTGGAAGCTGAAAACAAACTGACCTATTAAAACGATACTGGTGCAAGAGTTTAAGCTTCTAATACATGTAATATAAAAGGACTTAAAATCATATGTCTCTTATCACATGAGCTGTGTCGGATAGAAATATACCATATACAAATTAATATCAATATATCTGTTAACTTATGAGTTGAAAAAATCTCTACAGAAAGTCTGTAACCGTTTGAAAATTGAGTTGTTATAAGAACCCTACAAAACAGACCAAAATTAATCTATTATTTCTTATTTGAATGTTCCAAAATCAATGAAAGTCTTATAAATGTACATGTATACGTCCACTTGCATAAGGTCGATTTTTATCCAACGCAGCTCACATGTAAAATCCTTAATAAATATTTCTCCAGTGGCAAAATCTCTGTGAGCTTCTTACGTCTCTATATAAAATATCCTTTAACAAAAGTTTGTCTTTCAAATGCTGTGGTATACACTGATTTTCAACAAACAATTTCAAATCATATTTGTACAGTTTTCTAATATAATCCCTACAACAAATCAACAGATTTTGAGGACTTTCTACATTACACGATAACCATAATCGAATATCATCACTTTTACTTTTTTCAATCATCCACTGCAATGATGTCTTTTTCTCTTGCTGTATATTATATCCTGATGACAACAACAACCAGACCATGTCAGCTAAATTTCTGCAGACTGCAGCACATAACACAGATCTTTCTAATGGGAGTTCTTCTGGGGGTACTATGTAGCCATTATCATTGTCATTAAGGTCATTTACTATAATATTCTCTTCATATTTTACAATAAAGTCCATTGAGGCATTAGCATCTAAAAGCAATCTTGATGCCATGATGTTTCCATTTGAAACAGCATCATACAATGGTGTTCTAATTGGTATAGATGTAGAATTTATATCTGGATTTGCTCCCAGTTCTAAAAGTACCTTCAGTGAATCAGAATCATGATCAAATACAGCTTCATGTAGCATTGTCAGACCTTCTTTACTGTGACTGTTTATATCAAACCCTTTTGATGCCAATTTTCTGATAACACCTGACCGGTTTATTCCATCTCTTTCAAATAGTGCATCAATAATACAGTTCCTGTCTTTTTTCTGTTGTGGCTTTATACACCTCAGCCTATATTCATTTTTGATCATTTCAATAATACCTTCATAATCCATTAATTCTGCCCAATCCAGAGCTGTATAGCCATTTAGTTCATTGTCAAGTTTTATTTGATGATTTAGCAAAATTCTAACCATATCTTCATCATTTCGAAGAACTGCTAAATGTAAAGATTCCTGATCATATAGTTTGTCTGTCCCATGATTGAAATGAAAACCTCTATCAAGAAGAAGCTTAAGCATACTTTTGTTACCTGAAACAGTTGTAAAATAATTATTGATTTCTCCCACTAGTGATAATTATCAATGTGACAGTTAATGAAATAATTTTTTAAAGATACATCCAAATCTATTATTCTTAAATAATATAGAAGGATAAGATGTATGCATGGTAAATCCATAATTCACCACAACTAATTTTATCAGGGCTTTACTACCAATTAATTTATATAACAACAAATTGGGACAAAGAATTGTACAGTAACTTTAAATTTTGTCAAGTGGTAATTTTAAAACATGTTTTTTTATTCTCAATTTCTGTTTTTTGTTGATTTTGTTTGTGGACACAAATTATGTTACTGTATATGTTCTCAATTCTTGTTTTACTTTTGGAGGTTTATACACAATTTCTAATCTGAACTTTAACTTTATATAGAAAATTTTACTTATGTAAGATATGGAAGTACATATAACAATAGGTCCATACTTTAAATATTTAAAATAAAGAAATTATTTCTATGGTGAAATGTCATTTCAGAAGAGGGTTGACAATGTTCAAAATTTAGACATGTTCCATCAACATTTGACAATATGTAGTTAACAACTTACTTAGTTTTACGGCAGTATGTAAAGCATATGTTTGAAACTGTGGAACAAAGTATCTTCTGGAACTGATCACAAGTTGTAACAACTCAGCATTATTTGTTTGCACGGCTTTACATATTGTCATATTCGTAGCTTTTAATCCTGCTTTAATCAACTTATCGACAAGTCTTACTGAGTTAATTTCTGCAGCACAACATAAAGCTGTTTTACTCTGAGTGTTTATGTAAGATTTGTTAACATTGGGATGATCAAGTAGAATTTCCACCATATCTTCAGCACCTTCTAATACCGCTAACATTAGACTAGAAACTTTATTCGTACATGGAGTACATGTAGTGTTTACATCTACACCTGACGAAAGGATAAAATTGAAAATGTTCATGTTTTTACTTAAAATGGCAGCATTAAGTGGTGTGAGACTCATTGATGAAGTTTTCTGATCTAAAGATACACCATTGTCTGTCAAGAATTTAATGATGTCAAATTTTTGTAAAATACAAGATACGATAAGGAATGAGGTTCTTGCTTGACGAATAAATCTTGGATTACTTTTGTTTGTCACATGACTACATTTTCCATGAAGTATAAATTCTATGACTTTTTCTGGATGAAATATATGACCATTGTGTTTGACTTGTTCTAACATCTTCATGCATACACAGGGTGATTCTGACAGATATTCTAAAAAGTAAAAAAAAAAAAAAAATATTAATTTATCTATAAACAAATTATGAAAACAGTACATGTAACAGGAAAATTGAAATATAATGATCCAATATACAATAAGCAAAAGTTTGAAAGAATGTATATGTGAAAGTTAATTTGTATGACAAAATAAATCACAAAAACATTGTTTAAGAATAAAATTTTTTAACATCACACAAAAACAAGAGTGCACATGAGTGATGGTGAAATATCTCACCTGTTTTACTTACGATTGAATTCATGTTGAAAGTCTGTAATATAAAGGTTTTTACTTCAACTATCACATAAACTTAACATTATCAAAGATCCATGAAAGTGAAGTCATGGTCATATGAACCATGCCAGACAGACATGTACACCTTACAAGTATTCCATACACCAAATATAGTGGTCCTATCCCTTATAGTACCAGAGAAACAGATCAAACCATAAAATCTTAACACTGACCAATGAACCATGAAAATCAGATCAAGGTAATATCAACCCTGCCAGACCAGACACCTTACAATCATTCTTGACACCAATCATAGTTGACCTATTGTTTATAGTAACTGATAAACTGACATAACTGCAACAAGAGTGCACACGCTGAAATGTCTCGCCTCTTTTACTGACCATTGATTTTATGTTGAAAGTCTTTAAGATCAAGGTTTTACTACAAGTATCACATAAACTTAACATTTTTAAAGTTCCATGACAATGAGGTCAAGGTCAGATAAAAATTGTAACACAGACATGTACACCTTACTATTATTCCATACACCAAATATAGTTGACCCATTGCTTATGGTAATTGAAAAACAGACCAAATCACAAAAAAAATATCCTTAACCAATGAACCATGAAAATGAGGTCAAGGTCAGATGATATTGGCTAGACAGACATGTAAACCTTACAATCATTCTATTCACCAATTATAGTTGTCCTATTGCTATTAGTATTTGTAAAACAGACCAAAACACAAAAATTTAACATTGACCAATGAACCATAAAACTAAGGTCAAGGTCAGATGACACCGACTAGACAGACATGTACACCTTACATTCATTCCATAAACCAAATATAGTTGACCTAATGCTTATAGTACTTAAAAAACAGATAAAAACACAAAAACTTAACATTGATCAATGAACCATGAAAATGAGGTCAAGGTCAGATGACATCAGCTAGACAGACATGTACACCTTACAATCATTCCATACACTAAATATAGTTGACCTATCTATTGCTTACAGTACTTTAAACAGACCAAAACACAAAAATTTAACAATGACCAATGAACCATGAAAATGAGGTCGAGGTCAGATGAAACCTGCCAGTCTGACATGTACCCCTTACAATCATTCCATACACAACATATAGTTGACCTGCTGCTTGTAGTATCTGAGAAACGGACCTCATTACGAAACTTTAATCTTGATCACTGATCCATGAATTGAGGTCAAGATCAGGTTAACCCTGTCTGACGGACATGTAGACCTTGCAAGGAACCCATATACATTGTACCAAATATTGTTATCCTTTTACTCATAATAAGTGAGAAATTCACAAGACAAAAAAAATGTAATTTTTTTTCAAGCAGCCGCTGAACCATGAAAATGAGGTCAAGGACAAAGGGTATATGAAAGATTGAAACTTTGTAACATAAGGTATCTGCATACAAGGTATGAAGCATCCAGGTCTTCTATCTTCTGAAACATAAAGCTTTATATAAATAGTTTACGCCTCTGCTGCCGCTGCCGGATAGTAATACCTATGTCTCGCATACTGCAACTTTCGTCGCATGTGAGACATGTACAACTTACAATCATTCCATACACCAAATATAGTGGCCCTTTTGCTTATAGTATCTGAGAAATAGACCAAACCACAAAAACTAAACATTGTCTAATGAATCATGAAATTGAGGTCAAGGTTAAATGACCTGCAAGTTGGACATGTACACCTTACAATCATTCTATACATCAAATATAGTTGACCTACAGCTTATAGTATCTGAGATACAGACTTGACCATGTAACTTTAACCTTGATCACTGATCCATGAAATGAGGTCAAGGTCAGGTGAACCCTACCTGACAGACATGTAGACCTTGCAAGGAACCCATATACCAAATATAGTTATCCTATTACTCATAATAAGAGAGTATTTCATTTTTCAAAAAAACTTTTTTTTTTCAAGCAGTCAGTGAACCGTATGAAATTGAGGTGAAGGACAATGGACATATGACAGACGGTAACTTCATAACTAAGGCATCTGCATATGAGGTATGAAGCATCCAGGTCTTTTAACTTCTAAAATATAAAGTTTTATACAAATAGTTTATGCCATCGCTTCTGCCGCCGCCAATTGATTGTAATACCTTTGTCGCAAATAGCAGGCAAGACAAAAAATGTTAAAAAGAAAACATTTTTTCAACATCATGAACTATATTCTTTAGAAAGTATTACTGTTTTTCTATATTAAATAATAGCCTAACATATTGATCTGGTCATACTTCATGTACTTCATCTTGGAAATAGCATCCTTATTTTTTGTCCAAAAAATCTTACATTACTGGCAAAGTATAACATTGCTTTTAAGGAAGACAAGCAAACTGAAACACTGGAATATTTCTACATGTCACCTACAGTCAGATTTTGTTATCTTGATCAAAAGTAAAACAAACCCACCCAAGTTTTTTTTAACTTATCTCATTATTCACAGTGTATATTATCAAACAACAGTAACTAAAATAAATTAATTACTAAGTAAAAGAAACAATTTTAGATTTTATCTTCAATATTCAAAACTGAGCTATTACATTTCACTATAAACAGGGTTTATTTTCAAAAGTAAATACCGGTAGTAGATAGATGTTTTTACCCAAAAATCCGCCCACTTGGAATTCTGGGGTCACTAGAGTTACATCTCAGTTCCTCCTCTGCTGCAGGCTTCAATAAATGTTAATTATCAGCATAAATCTTGCTTAAAAAGATGCAAGATTGTAGTGCTAAAATGTGAAATTAGTTTGAACTGCATTCCTTATCACATTTTAGGACGGTTTTTTTCACTTCAATTTCACTGAGGAGTAAGAGTTTATTTTTGTTACTAATGTTCTACCATAATATACAATAGATGTATCATTACCATATCCAAACTGAATATCCAACAGATCTAGGTTGTTTGATAGCTGGGTTATGACCTCCTCTTCCGATGACCTAAATAATAACCTCAGCACCTCAACAATCCTTGTCTTTTCATCCATCTTTCAAGGAACATCTTAAAAATTGAAAATATGTGTTTTAAATATATGCTATCAATTGAATAGTTTCCAAATATTTCATTGCCAAATAATTAAACTATATAAAAAAAACAAGCAAAAAGTGGAAAGTTGATTCCTTATGCAATTTAGTTTGTTACCCACCACATATTATGTGTCTGTCCCAAATTGCAATCCTCATCAGAGTTTGTCTTTAAATAAATGGTGTTAATAGCAGATTTTTGTGATTCTCTATTAAATGTTAAAAATTTATTCCCTTAATTGTCTAGACTTGGGCAATTTATAATTTGATAAATTGAATGTTAAATATTACAAAATTTTATAAACTTTGGACAAATTTCTTTTATATAATGAATTAATGTGATTAACTTTGGAAAAAAGTCAAATTTTCTTTCAAATAATAATGAAACCACATTAACTGTTTTTTTTTTAAATTGTGATTTCTATTTTATTTCAGCATGTATGGTAAAAATGTATTTTAAAAATCAGATTTACAATGGGAGATAACTCAATCATGTTATTAAATATGATGAAGTTTGCATAGTTATACATATTATATTTTATTTTATTTTTTCACAATCTTAAAAAAAATCAGTAATGTCTTTATTTTTAAACTCCAACTCCTGCTGGGACTATTATACTAGTATAATAGATTTTTGTAATTTTTAAAGCTTAGATGATCTAATAATAAACAATTTACTCAGTCCCTCAAGACATCAAATAAAACCAAGGAAATATTGATGCATTGTGGTTTATTGATATCAAGACTGAGTGCAACTATCATGAATGGAAATATTTTCTAACAGTTAAATACAGGAGACACCTATAAACATTGCCTTAACTTTGAGTTGAATGTTAGGAGCTGAATTTAAAGAAGGTAATTATGCTGCCATTGTTCGCCTTCAAATTAGATACAATGACGTAGTTTCCATAAGGGAATAGATGGCTAAAAGACAACAAATCAATATGTCCTGCTTTTCTATTTCCCATTGTGACATTTTGAATTATTGTGAATTCACATGGCGGGTGATGCAATCATAGCAGGATACCCTGACCCTGTCTACAAACCTGGTCGTGCTCCTTTTGGAGTTAATGAGATTACCTCCATTTTTTATTTGTTACCCTGATAAACATCGGTAAACAACTGACATCTTATTTTTTCCTACAGTTTTATCACCTTAAGAATGAAGTCAGTCAGTATAACATGGACAACAACTGACACCTTATTATTTCCTACAGTTTTATAACCTTAAGAACAAAATCAGTTGGTATAACATGGTCAACAATTGGGGACTCTCTGCTTGTAAAATGATTTCTTTCAAAAATTAAGAAGACGTGATATGATTGCCAATGAAACATTTATCATCCAGATTCTAAATGATATAGATTTAACCAACAATAGGTCACTGTACAGCCTTCAACAATTAGCAAAACCCATACAGTATACTATGATAAGCTGCTATAAAAGGTAAAAAAATCCCTGCAAAAAAAAACACTACATACAATTATTTTTGGTAATTCAAAGCATGTGTACACAAATTTATATGTCCTAGGGCTGAGGTATGTATCAAACATTAATTAACAGAATGTTTGACACCAAAACTGTCAAATAAAGCCATTATATTCAATGTTAAACAATTTAAAAGAAAAAAAACAGCAGTCTTATTTAATTACAAAGGAATTATAGAAAATAGACAGCTACCAATGACAATCAGTGGCATTTTCCCATTTTAAAAGATGACTGGCACATTTGTTAATAAATAAAACAATGAATCTTACCAGTTGACTACCTTGTCTTTAGGTCACATATCACTTATACATCTACATATTTTTAGTAATTCTTCATGCTCAAACCAACACCATACTACATTAAAAAAAATTGGATATTGGAGGATAATTTCTGAAATCTACAAATACATTTTTGGTACATAAATGGTAGGTTTTCACATACAGATTAAATATTTGTATAAACAATAATACTTTTATTACTTTTTCAATTACCAATTGCAATGGCTAATTTAATCAAATTCTAGTCATGATAGTAAATATATATATTTATTTTTGGTAATTCAAAGCATGTGTACACAAATTTATATGTCCTAGGGCTGAGCATGGAAGTAATATTACTTCCATGGGCTGAGATATCAAACATTAATTAACAGAATGTTTGACACCAAAACTGTCAAATAAAGCCATTATATTCAATGTTCAAATTTGTTTAATGATATATAATAACCCTAATTTTTCCTTTTTTTATTTTCTTAAAGCCCATTATAAGAGTTATCTTCTCATATCTTATTTTAAAATTCTATTGGTTAGTTTTCCTTCTATAAAAGTTGTTTCTACTTGTATCAGACAATTTCACACAACCTATAGCTTAAAAAAAGCTCCTTGACCTAAATATGAATTTTTGAACATAGGGTGATATAATGTGCATTTTGACAAAGCATTAATTTAGACTTATTATGCATTTTGTAAGAAATTGATGCCTGTGATATATTCCAACTGCTCATTCTTAACAGTCAACTTTTTGTGGAAAGAACATGTGATGTTTTCATAAATTTTCATTTTTTTCAGTGGAGACTAGTACTTCATCTGTTAAAACAAAATGTGAAGGTTTTGTGTATCTTTAAGTATATTTAGTTTATATATATGTTAAAAGAAATCTGGGACTATTATACTCACTAAACGTTAGTATAATAGTCCCAGAAGAAATGCATAATAACAAATGATAAAAAAAAATAAAATTGTTTAGCCCCTAAAGAAAAATAATAAGCAGTCTCTTTTTCTCTTTTTGCGATAATGGCAGAGTTCAAAGAACATGAGGAAAGAGGGTACATGTTGCCAGACAAGAAGGGTGGGTGCTCTGCCCTTTAAATTGTCTAGCTCTGCCATTGTCGATTGACATGATTGTTTTGGTGGAATTAGTAGTTAACCTCCCTGTATTACTCATGTTATCCTACTATTAAACAATGTTGCTGTTATTTCTTTAAGTTTAAAACAAATTATCTTGTTTATCAGCAATTTAAAATCAATGACTGCAGGTTTTGTCAACTGAGTGCTTGATAGTCCGAGATTACTCTGACGTCCAAAGGCTGTTTTGCCAGACAAGCTGGGGCCCCAACTTGTCTGGCAAAACAGCCGTTGGACGTCAGAGTAAACTCGGACTAAGTGATTGATTGATAAATTGTTGGTTAGGTTTTGTCAACTGCAATGCATCTTTGACTTGTATAAAACAGGTGCATAATTTATGCACCTTTTTCTAAACATAACATATTGCATTATCATCTTTATTTTCCCCTTAATTAAATCAATTATACCATGCTTTTTAGTGTAAATTTGTGCCGAAATTCAGATTTTGTTGTTCTTGCCTACCATTTAGTCTTGTTACAACTTAATGATAACCTCCAGTTATTCCTGTGTTAAAACGTTTGAACGCATAAGTTGACAGCTATAACTGAATACCAAAAAATATCTTAAACAACGGACTTAATAATAATAATAAATTCTTTATCTAAAGAGGGTACTCAGTTAGAATTAGTCATATTTTCATTGAGACCCTTAAACAAAATACATGTACACAGTTAACATTTATACATCAAAATACAATATATTATATCAGGAACATATAGGTTTGAACGTTTTTTTTCAATTTAGACTTGTTTATATCAAGAACATATATATATATATATTGACTATAGTATACTGTTCCCAGATCATCATTCAAACATTTACAAATGGCAACAATTAATAAAGTTTTCATATTCTAACCATAAAATTGTATTTTATTTCTCTGAAAATCTAACGAGAAAAATAGAAAAATTCCTCGTAATTAAGTCATCAACGTTTCAGTGCAACTTGAGACAGGCCGATTTTTTTATTTGCCCTCCTCCTTTTTCCAAATCCGTTATTTTTTTTTGTTTTCTATCAATTTCAATTATTTTCGCGTTTTTCTGTATTAAATGAACATAAATATACTAGAAATAACTTGTATTTACTATTTACTATCAATTCCAAGTTTACTATATCCATTGAATGTTTTGTATTGTAATCTTAATGTATATACATAAAATTGTTGATGGACTAACACCTGATCACTTATCAACGCTACAACTTAAAAAAAATCGATCTGTCTCTAATAACGATAGATTTGTTCCAAGACCCAAATACTAATTTTTATAAAAAAAACTTTTTATTATTCTGCAACCAAGGTTTTACCATTCACAATAAAAAAAAATTGTCGTACGTTTTAACCTATTTATTTCAATTTTGATGAGGCTATATAGAAGATAAAGAGAATCTTAATATAATAAAGGCATGCCTATAATAAACGTGATAAGCAAAATAAGATCTTTAAATAAGTCATCATGGCTAAGATCTTAAATTGGTCCCTGATGTTAACTAGTGTTTGTCCTTGGAGAACGATTTTATCCGCTTTTCGGTTTTTTAGGAGAAACAAAAAAAAAATTTGAACGAAACTGTAAATTGCAAAAGTGATTAGCAAAATGTGATCTACAAACAAGTCAACATGACTGAAAACATCGAATGATCCCTTTTAGGAGTTGTTGACCTTGAGTGACATGTTTTACCCATTCTGTTTGTACTTTTGCAACTATAATCTATAATGTTAGTTCGAGTTGTTTGTGCCTCGTGCTAATATGTTGAAACTGACATTTACAATTTGTTCTGTTACAGCACTGCTCCGAACCACATTCTGATTGTGCCGATCCCAAGTCAGGAGCCTGGCTGTGGTTCAATGGTTGTTGTGGGTTGCCAGGGGCGGGTCCAGGTGAGGGCGTAATGGGCGTACGCCCCCCCCCCCCTTTTAAAAAAAAACAAAAAAAAAACTATCGTAATCTGCTAATATTGTATTGAATATGGCAATTTATCATATTCATTAATACTCTGAAATGGTTCTAATGAATGATGATCAATCCACTCTAGTCTAACCATTCATTAAATGAGAGTCCGTCAGTATTTCTATGTTCATTTTAGGTTTTGCGGTAAGGTACATTTATACTAGTAACATGTATATTTGGTATAGCATTTTTACTTTCCATCTGGATAGCCTTTGGTAGTATCATATTGTTTCAATATCCATTAGTGAGTAACTAAGTGACATTGACCTACATTTTGCCATGAAGTTCAAGCACCATATTTATTTATGTACCATATACCACCTATCGGAACTAGACAGTGACATGATTGCTTTAATTTAGTACTGTAGTACAATGACGTCAATTTTTCATATTCAATCATGTATTCCACATTAAAGCCTACAATATTAAGAACGAAAGAACTTCATACTTCAGTGTTTGTTTGTCTTGTATCATGTGTGTCGTTCAACGAAACCAGAACTTAATCTAAAATAGAGAGATATTTATCAGTCTGGCCACTTCATAATTTGATGCTAAATTGTTGAAATCCAAGAGCTTCTGAGCTTCCCCATAAACCCTCTACCAGGGCAACCGTAATTTCGCCTCCCGTTCATAAAATTTAGCCTAGGACTATTGAAGTGTTAAGTAACGCCTTATACCCTAGAACTTGCAATTTCTCGTTATTGGTCTACTGCTGTTAAGATCCATCCAATCATATTAATATACTATAGACAATTAATGGAGAGAACGGCATAAAAAATGTCAAACCCTGACACTTTAACTTTAAAATATACATGCTCCAAGTCAGGAACTGTTACATTAGTGCATTTCACAATTATTTAATGTTTTTATGCCAAAAAAAATATTTTCACCTCGCTTCGCTCGGCGAACATTTCATTCTACGCCCCCTCTTTGTTGAAGTTTTACACCTGCGATTATGGAATTTTTTCAATGAGACACAGAGAAACCCAGGGACACGCACAAAACAATACATCTATAGAGGTCAACATAGACGGTCTTCGTTTCCTATCATAATATACTCAATAGGGTTGCTGCTTACACCGATGGTTCCGAATGGTAATAAAGTTGAGGTCATTTTTTCGAATGTTTGTGATTTGTTTGACCGTTATGGCATATCTGTGCCACAATGCCATTTGTTTTCCCGATATGACATCACCGACTGAAACTCATTACCGAATTTTACTTGCAATCAGCCCACAACTGGTGCCACTAGCTGAACAGGAACTACTTGCTCTTCTTGAATTGAGAATCTGAGTTAACCCCAGGTTTTGGGATGGAGTTCATGTTGCTCAGTCTTTAGTTTTATGTGTAGTGTTTTGTTGACTGTCTTTTCATCGTTTTTCTTTTTGGCCATGGTATTGTCTGTTTTTCTTTTTGGCCATGGTATTGTCTGTTTTTCTCTTTATTTGGCCATGGTATTGTCTGTTTTTCTTTTTGGTCATGGTATTGTCTGTTTTCTTTTTGGCCATGGTATTGTCTGTTTTTCTTTTTGGCCATGATATAGTCTGTTTTTCTTTTTGGCCATGGTATTGTCTGTTTTTCTTTTTGGCCATGGTATTGTCTGTTTTTCTCTTTTTGGCCATGGTATTGTCTGTTTTTTTTTCTCTTTTTGGCCATGGTATTGTCTGTTTTTCTTTTTGGCCATGGTATTGTCTGTTTTTCTCTTTTTGGCCATGGCATTGCCTGTTTTTCTTTTTGGCCATGGTATTGTCTGTTTTTCATTTTGGACATGGTATTATACCCTTTTTCTTAAACTGGTAGGGCTTTGCGCCCAAAAATCAATCCCAACTTTTCTTTTATGGTATGAAACCTTGTGGGACATTTTCATAGAGATCCATAGATTTGTATTCAAGTTATTGTTCGGAAACATGAAAATCATAGTTTTTTGCCTCTAATTCCTAAACGGTTTGGACCATAAACCCCAAAATCAATCCCAACCTTTCTCTTGAGGTATGGAACCTTGTGGTACAATTTCATAGAGATCTATACACTTATACACAAGTTATTATCCTGGAATAAGAAAAATGATTGTGTTTGGCCCAAAATTCCTAAATAGATTGGACAATAACCTCAAAATCAATCCAAACCTTCCTTTGGTGGTATGGAACCTTGTGGTGCAATTTCATAGAGATTCATATACTAATACTCAAGTTATTGTCTGGAACCCAAATGACTTCGGACGACGATGACGACGACGCTGACGTCATAGCATTATACGACCGCAAAATTATAAAAAGTACTAACTTATTTATTCCTTTTTTAAGTAAGTAACCTTCTTGTCGTTTGTTTTTCTGTGACAATTTTAATAACTGTTTGACATTATCCAGAAAATTGGTTGCTCCAAAAGACTATTCAGTTGTGCATGGAGAAATTCGAAAGGGCCGGTGACCCTGTTCCCTTTATTAAAATAGCGGTAATAGAGGGATGGAAAATACCAAAGTGATATTTATACTCATAAGTCGATAGCCAACTGACAGCGCCATTGCATAAATCGAAAAGGACGAAAAGACAAACAATCTGCAAAACATAACATAGAAAAAATTAAAAACTGAGCAACACGAACCCTACCAAAAAACCGGGGTGATCTCAGGTGATTTTCAATCAGATAAAGAATCTTTACAATCAATCAGTATAACGTTATACTCCTAACATTAAAAAGTCGCCTCGCCTGCAATTGCTGTTGTCAGTGAAAAGTGTAATGTTGACTGTAAAAAGTCGAGTCCATTTATCAGCAAAATACTGAATTTAAGGGGAAAAACTCTTTCTTCACACTGGGTATTCCGGTCAGAAACCGCGGAGGGATCCAAATCCGGAGGAGCAATTAATGAAAAGTGTGTAACAGTGGGTAGGTAAAATATGGATCCGATTCCGATTTGCTGATCCAGATTTTACCTTTCTGTCGTTAAAAACGCGGCTTTTGAATCGGAATACCAGGTGTTTTCTTTAACTATGCGATTGCTTATCTTGAAGATTAGTTTCTGTCCATAACAATCCATGAAGGTATACAAATGTTTCATGTCAACACAAAATTAATTACAGACTGTCTGTAAATGTTAACTGAAAAAAACTAATTGAAGCTATCTGTCATGTCAGTAAAATATTGAAAATCAGGGACATAAATATAAATATGTTTTCAAAATTTTGCTTCAGACATTATCTCCTAATCATAAAAATCTTCTGTTAAAGTTTCATAAAATTCGATGAAAGTTTGACAAAGTAATTATTGTGTAACAAACTTAAACCCCTGACTGTATCTACTTGTTAACTGCAAAAAACAACTATGCTCTTTTAGCAGTAAAATACGGGAGAATGAAAAACAAATATTTTCATTATTTTGCTCCGAATACGGTTATAGAAAGATTCTGTCCAAATTTCATAAAATTCCATAAAGTTTTGATTGAGGTCTAAAAACCATAGACTGAACCTAAATGTCGACGACGCCATCGCCGACGACGACGGAATCTACAACGAGGATCACTATAAACATAAGGAGATGTGGCATGATTGCCAATGAGACAACTATCCACCAGATTTCAAATGAAGTGAATGTAAATAATTATAGACAACCGTACTGTCTTCAACAATGCCCATAAAAACCCATACCGTATAGTCTGCTATAAAAGGTCTCGATATGAAAAATGTGAAACAATTCAAACGAGAAAACCAACGGCCTAATGTATAACAAAACAATTTACTAAAAACAAATATGACAGACATGAACCAACGACAACTATGTCTCGCTTCCGCGACATAAATGTCACAGGCTGAACGAAAATCAACACAATTTTAAACAAGTACATGTATTATTATTAACAGATTCAACTTAAATGTGCTAACATGAAAAAAATAGTACTATGATAATGTAAGGTGGCATCATCTCTAACCCAAGGAATCCAAACTAACCGGGTCTTTACTTTTATTGTCCTCTATCTTTGCTGGTTCCACTATAACTGTTTTCTTACTCTTTTGTTTTTGAAACAATGGTTTGTACTTGAGTCCCTGTTTACTTTTAATTTGTTCTGAAGCGAGAGTCACAACCTGCGATAAATCAATATTTTCCTCGTCGTCGTCGGTTCTAAGATACCGACAATGTTTTATTTCGTCCCAGATATCCTTTGGTGATTTAGTCTTCTTCTTCCCGCCACCAGTTTCACCAGGAATTCCATATAGGGTAGCCTCTAACTGCTTTTTGATATACTCTTCTATTCTTTCTAGATATTCTTCCTTTTTATGTAGCAATATTACAAATCTATTGTGTTCGTCCATTAGAAGAAGTTGTCTGCGCTCTTCGTAAGGATCATCACCTATACAGAACAAACCATCGGAGATGCTGAGAGACATCCTGGATTCCATTTTCGTTGCCTCTTTGTCAATACTGCTATGACATGAATACTGTTTGGTCATTTGTGCGAAATTCGCGGATTTTCCCATAGCGGAGAAACTTCGTCGTTCCGGGCTACTATTACATGATTTCTTTCTCGACTGCCTCTCGAAATTGGACCGAGCACTTTTCGATTGGCCGTTTCGAGTTCGAGGGACGGCAAATTTATTGTAACTCTTTATAGATACGGGCGAATCACGACCTGAATTTGTATTTAAAGTTTTGTCCTTTTGACAACTGTTTTTAATATCACCGTCCTGTTTATTTTCATCTATTTTTGTTTTTTTATCAGTTTTCTTTAGCTTAGTTGTATCATCTTTAACTCGTGTTTCGTGTTGATTTTTCTGATGACATGTTCTGGTAAATTGATTAGACTGCTTTTGTTGGAAAATTTTCTTTGGACTTGCATTTTTATTTGAATCAGGACTTGCTATAGCACTAATCTGTTCTTCATTATCATTAGTATCGGGTATATCAGGTGTTGTTCCTTTGGAGTCATCTATAGGATTCGCGGTAAGAGGGCTAATGTTTACGTCGCTACATTGATGTGGACTTTGACTAACGACATCCTCTTCTTTCTTTGGCATTTCATTCTCAGCACTACTTGTTTTGTTCATAATGCGTGGCGAATTAACATTCCCTGTTTCTATAAAGTTAACGGTCAAGCTCATTTTTTTTTCGGGGATGTCTTCTTTGTCTGGTTCCTTGTCTACATTTTTGTTACTTTCGGTAGGTGTTTCTCCGTAAACTATACATATCCCCGAACATTTCGATTGTTCATATTTTTCTGTAGTTTGTTCGAGCAACGCAGTGGGAATTTCCTTGCTCTCAATTTTGTCTACGAAATTCGACTCTTGTATAATAGCATCACATGTTTTAGATTTGAAAAACTGTGGTCTATCTATTGATTCAATACTCTGACGTTTTTTAGATATGCTTTCACGGGATCCGTTTAATTTACTGTCCCATGCAGATGTTGAAGGTCGATGAACAACAGATACACTTTCTTTGCACTCATTTAAATGGCTATCAAAAGTTCCTGACATAACAGAATTTCTCTTACTATCCTGACTAGCTTCCACACTCCTGCTTGTAAAAGCACTTTTAGTTTTCCGAAGATGCTCTCGACCCTGCAATTTCAAACGTTTTTCTGCGTCTGCGATACGTAACATAGATGTTGTATTAACTGTGTTTTGAGGAGGACTAAGTCGGCCGGTTGCCTCAAGATCTTTTAGTCTTGTGATCTCGTTAACTTTCAAATGAGTTTTGATTTTGGAAACTTTGTCTCTGAATCGTCTGTAGAAAACCTTCATCCCTCTGTTTTCCATATCTATTAGTTTCACAGAATACGATGCCTCGGCATCCAAGGTTACAAGACTTTTTTTCAGACATCTTTGTTCTTTTATATTGTACTTGACTGCCGCAACCTCTTTGTCACTATTCAATATTCTATTAACCAGTTTAGACATCTGAAAAGTAAAAAATATGTCCACTACATGTTCGTTTCTACAACGTGAATGGTCAAGAATACAGTAAAGTTTAAACATAACTCGAATGTCATTTATTTTTCAAAGACCAAGTCAGGAATATGACAGATATGTTTTCCATTCGTTCTTTTGGTTGATACAGTCTAACGTTTTGTGGTTGATACAGTCTAACGTTTTGTGGTTGATACAGTCTAACGTTTTGTGGTTGATACAGTCTAACGTTTTGTGGTTGATACAATCTAACGATTTGTGGTTGATACAATCTAACGTTTGGTTTTGTCAAGTTTTATGGACGTCCCCCTTTTTGAATTTACCTTAAAGTTAGGTATTTTTTTAATACTTTTTCGTCTATGTGCGTCTGAATAGTAGGACTGTAATGTAGAAATTTTATTTGTTGAACATAATGGCCCTCTACCTACTGTTTCCTCTGTGACAAAAAAACAGCAGTGTACAGACCAGGATTAAATTAAGTAAATGCCATTTTGAAATTATTTTCTTCTTTGTGAATATACATTTCCGTGATGTCGACGTCATTTGGACTCTGGTGGATATTTGTATTAGTCGAAATCATACCACATCGCCTTAATTTTATATTTCGTAGAACATATTTTTTGTTTGAATGACTTTCATGAAACTTATTTCATTTTGTTGTCTCTTTTTTTCCATCTTCAAGTTAGCTTTGATCTGATGCTTCATGAAGACAATTCAAAGAAATTATTTTTCGATCCTTTATAAATAATAAAAAGATTCTTACCTCTAATTTTCACTAATATTTCCTAAAAAATTGATATGACACATCTCCGACCAAACATGTTGTTGAATGACGACAGTGCTTTCCGATGGATTTATTATGGATTACGGTTTATTATGGATTAACAGAGTTTAAACCAACTTAAATAGCCATTGTATACAGAAGATTATTTAAGAAAATAATTAAGTATTCATAGTCGTGTGAAGAATTTTCTTCCAATAACAGATATCAAATTTAAAATTAAGGCCATAATTGTTATTTTAAAATAACAAAATATTTAGTTGAAAAGATAAATACGTCCCGTTTTGTTAATTAGAATTGTGGTAAGTCAACGTAAAACATTAGATGTATATATATATCCAACCCAAATGAATTCAGAATATTTAAATTTTTGTACTTTAAAGGCTCTCTGTATTCAATCAAGATTTTAAGTAATTGAATACTTGATGTCAGTTGCATAAATTTGAATAATAAAATATGACTGTATAAAACAAACTTTTTAAAAAGAAAAAGAGTTAAACTAACGAAGGATGTGACTTAAACACGGCCTCTGTTCAGTCTTGTAAGGACAACCCAACGTCATGAAATATTGTTTCAAAATATTGTGTGCAATTATAGTCTGGCTCAGGGGGTCGTGTCCGCCTAAAACACAATACAATTTTAATACCGCTTTGATGTAACGAATATGACATTGAAATTACATAACATAACTGTCCCTCCATTCAATTAACCATTATTTATAAGTGTCTTTAACCCCGAAGTAAAACTATTTTACATTTTTATTGCACCTATTCACTGAATAGTTAATCCCGTTTTAATTAAATTAAATTAAAACGTTGAATTTTACAAAAAAGGTTTTAATAGAATAAAATGGAATTGGTCAGGTGTAAATTAATCCTAGATCAAATGTTAGAAGGATTAATGATTAATCTACACCCAAAATGTTAATGCCTCTATTTATTTAAGGTTTGGTAATATTAAAAGTATATCAAAATGTGTTCGCTTCTCAGCTTTGTTCAGGAGTGTAATCTTAGAATACTCTCGGACCAAATAAACACACATTGAATCAGAATCTGGTGATCGAACTATGTTTATTTCTCTATTTCTTAGAATATCAAAAGATATACTCAATTGGCCATAAAATATGAATTAGACAACTGGCAACAAAAGATTATAAATCTAATAGTTGCGTTTTAAAGGTGGACACCATTCTGAGGTCCTATGATCATGAATTGCCATCATCGCATGAAATCATATTTATCCCAAGAAAATTGGAAAAAAAATTAGATTCACGATTTGACTAATGTTGTTAAGATAATTAAATCAAGACTGTATGGTATGGGTTTGCCTCGTTGTTGACATGTCAGACCGCAAAACTTATAATCATTTAGCGTTTAAATCAGTTTTCATGCACTGGCTTAATATCTTATTAAAAAGGAGAGATATCAAGTGGCCAATCACGGATAAACTCTTAGCCGAAGAAAAAGAGACAACACCTTACAAAAAAATTGACGTAAAAAAAGTCCCAACACAATAAAACGAAAACATGCCAAAAAATAATTCACCAAACCATCAATCCCCTTTTTCGTTCTTTGTCCTGCTGAATAATCAGATTCTGATTTAGTGTACCCATTAAATTAGCTATAATACAGAATTGCTCAAATCTTGTAACAAAATGTTGATGCCCTCCCATCTGAAGTATTGAAAAATTGGATACCCCCGTACCTTTCTATTCATGAAAATTTGCAAGGAACCCCTTTAATTTTGCTCCCAGCCCCTCCCCAGGTTACAAATGATTGGTCCCTTAGTTTACTAAGATTTGATATCTAGGGGATGACCATCGAGGAGGTTTTTTTGGGGGGGAAGGGGCAGAGCATTTTTGAAATTAATCAGTATTCTGGCCATGTGATATCTGGAAAAAATCTTTGATCGAGGCATCCCGAAAATGTATATTATGTCCCATAGGTACATGACGAGATTTTTGTAATATATATATATATATCAGACTCAGATCGACGTCCGGTCTCTAATCGACGTCAGTTCCTCAAATTGACATTCAATCTGACGTCATAATTTTGAATACTAGTAGATTGCTCTTATCAAAGTCTTTTATTTTAGTTTTCAAATCGACGTCCAATTCTTGGCTACTCGAATCGACGTCGTTTTTATTGAATATTGCAATAATTACGCAGAATACATGTACGTCACAAAAACAACACTTCAACGACCGACTTATGTAATGCTTTAATAGGGATAGAACTTGAATTATATACCTTGGAGTTATTCGAGAGAAGACTGAGAATGTATTTACATCAAGGCTGAGCAGGGAAGTTCTACAATTCAGGACAAACCCGGCCATAACTTCCCCGACAAAGAAACAGCTGTATTCGTCGTCATATATGTTGAAAGGAGGCAAGTGTGCCAACAACAAGAGGTTAGACTCGTGTCTTTTGTATATGTGTCACTCCAGGTGTAAAACACGGAAATTTGTTAAAAAAATATCTGGCAGAGTTTCTCAACAATTGGCTGCACTTAATTATTTTGTCTATTGTTGAAGACTGTAATTTGCCCTCTAGATGTCTTTCGGTTGTCTTAGTCGTTGGGCTGTTGTCTCATTTACGTATACTTACAGGTCATTTATTTATATGAATATGAAAGGCATGCGACAACGTAAATCGACTGGATTAACCGCTTCTTTCAAGCAAAAATACTAATATGCATGTACATGCTATGAGATGTCGCTGGTTAATCTTGGTTGTCTTGTTCTCATTTACCAATGTTAGTTCTTTTATTTTGTTTTAGCTGATTATTTGGGAAGGGATGTAGCTTAATTTGTTGTTCCTTCTGATAATCCCTTCTTATACGTGTCCTCAGCTAAGTCATAATGAAATAAGAAAAAAAAATGTTGATTTAAATAACAACCCAACTTCTAGGATATCCACGTGCTTAAACAAATGTATTTGTAATGCCTCTGCAGCCAGTTTGTTAACAAAAAATGCACGTGGATATCCACAAATTTTCCCGTGCAATGCCAAAAAATGACTTACCGGTTTTAGATTAACTTCACAAAATATTGTTAGGTCAACAGTGAACGGGAGAGCTTTTTCACTCTCCTTTTCCTGTGACATTACCTGAAAAACTCAAAACCTTATATATGTGGTAACTTGAACCCAGCCTAAGTGTGGTATTCAATATGTGGGACAGACGGACAAACAATCATTTAAATTCCCTTTCATCTCCGCATCTAGTAAGTGTTCTACTACTAATCTGTCAGTGCTTCTAACTACCTCCTTTACTACTATCAAAGAACTTGTTATTAACTTTTGTAATAAAGCTTATGAAAATAATGGTATTAACTATTTTTGGAGTGTTAAAAATTCATTAGAGGTTTTAGATAAAATACGTGCTTTTGATGGTCCTTTTAATTCTGTTGACAGTTATGATTTTTCTACTCTCTACACTACACTTCCACACAATCTTATAAAAAAAAAGTTTTCATATTTAATTAAATGGTCTTTTGAAAAATCTCATAGCAAATATATTTGTTGTAACTCGTTTAAAGCCTTTTTCTGTAACGAAAAAAGAAAGTATGCTAAATATACTTACTGGAAATGTGAAGATATGATTGAAGCTTTTAATTTTCTCCTAGACAACATATATGTACGTTTCGGCGATAAAATGTATCGACAGGTAGTAGGTATTCATATGGGCACTAACTGTGCCCCTTTACTAGCAGATTTATTCCTGTATTGCTATGAATCTCAGTTTATGACCAAACTCAGTAAAGACACGTCATTGTTACATTTGGTTGATACATTCAACAATACCTACCGTTATTTTTTCGTTAAATAATCCAGAGTTCTCTAAATATACTACCGAAATTTACCCAAAGGAACTTACTTTAAATAAATCTTACATAAACAGCAGTAGTTGTTCTTTTCGAGATTTAGACATTTCAATTTTTAAAGGGAAACTCCATACTAAAATTTACGACAAAAGAGACGATTTTTCATTCCCTATTGTTAATTTTCCCTTTTAAGGTTTTATTAACAGGTTAACTCCTAACTATTCTACTGCCTGTCTATACTTTTATTTTGGCATTGCACAAGTCATGTCTTCTTTGACTGTCCATGATGTTAAAACACTAAATCCCTGGATTGTGTTTTATTTGATTTTAGTCTCTGATGCATGATTTTTTTATTATTAATTGTTTTTGACTTTAAACTAGCTT